CAGTAGTTTTTCCCATGTTCTTCATTTATTTCTTCGCATATTGTGATCCATTTGCGCTCTTTATATTGTTGGATAAGGTTTTTATGTTCATATTATATTCATTAATTTGTTGCTTGATTTCAATATTTGGGGATTTCTGGTACTCTCTGTATATTTTTCTTTTGTTTGGTTAGTCTAATTATATATGGTGGTAGTTGTGAGTTATAATATTTGACTTTGTCTTTTGGAGAGTTCTGAATAATTATTTCCGATAGTTTTTCATTACATTCTCTGATTGCGACCTCGTTTAACACGTTGTTTTCACGCCCATTTACAAATTCCAGCATTTTGGTGTTTATTTTGTCCATTTGGCATTTTTTAGTATTTATCCTGTATTCCTCTAATTCTTCAATATTTGTGATCAATTCTATAGTAATTACAAGTGCAGAGTGTTCACATCCTATGTCTGGATTAGTTTTTACACTTATATTATTTTCCATATTCTTGGTGTATAAAACTAGATCGGGGGTTGTGTCTTCATTGTTGGTCATGTGAAATGTGGGTAGGAGGGTTGAAGGATTGTCTTTTTTTTTTCATTTTTAGTCCAGGATGTATCTATATTAAACTCCCCTCACATTTCTGTTCACTATACTTCCTTCCCTTTGTATTATGTCCCAGTTCTTGTAGTTTGCTTGGGTATCTGTTTTAGTTTTTGTTTCCACAAATAGACCACAATTAAAGTGGCCCCTTTCTATTATATTGCTTATAAGTTGTTTTTTTGGTGTGTAACTGTTGACATTGCAGTATAGAATTTTAAGTTGGGACATGAACTTAAGAGTTATATATCCCGTTGATAGGTTCTGTAGGAGATGTTGATAAAGATTCGTCCAGAGATTAAACATGAGGATGTTTCCAGAGAATTATGCTATCATGTCAATATTGAATTGTGCAAAGAATCTTTTTCTTAATTTAGTTATCAATTCTTCTCTGTTTGTGTTTTTCTCTTTATTAAGTTTGGATACGTATGTATTTAGAATGTGATCATGTACTGTAATATTGGTATGAATTTTGCTGTTTTTTGTTATTTTTGAGTCGATCTTATTTGATTTTTTATTTAATAGTTTAATTGGGTTGTTAGGGATTCCTGCAATGGGTTTAGTGGATCTGTTTGAGCATTTTAGTGACCATACTGCATGATCTTCTGCTCCACAGCCTTGGCATTTTTGTGGCAATTGTGTGTTGCATTTGCTGAAATGATGGGGCCCATTGCATTTGCTGCATTTTATAGAGGCAGTACATTGTTCTCTGGAATGAGTAAATTGTTGACACCGGGAACACGGTTGTGGGATGGGAGCTGGAGGTTGGCTTGGATATACTGGATAATGTTTATGTTTGTAGTATAATCCTCCATCGTTATTAGCCCAATGCAATTCTTACGGAAATATTAATTTTAAATAATAAATATCCGACCGAGATAAAATTTTTAAGGATTTATGCAGCATAGATATCTATAGTTATGAAAATTGTTATTTAAAAAGTCATGTCGATTGCTAAATAGGAATTTTTCAACCCTTTAAAAGATACTTTTGGTATGCCTATGATGCCACAAAACAATGAAGACCTAGTTTTTAAGAAAAGTTTTTTTTTTCTGAAAAATCACTTAAATCCATCAACTCTTCCTTGAGTTAACGTGCTTAATGTAATACATACATAAACACCCACATAGATGCACATACATCAGACTCTTTAAAAATATATTTTTTTGTACTTAGGAGTCTCCCGGAATTCCGGGATTCTCCCGGAAAAATGCATTTCATTTTCAAAATCTCCTGGCTTCAGGAATGTACCTAAAATCTCCCGGATCTTTATACTATGAATAATGAAATTGAGTGGGTTGAATTAAAAGAGTTCTTCTCTCAACATGTCTATAAATGCATGAAGGTAAACTGTATGATAATTAAAGTAGAAGTACATGAAGTTATTGCGAGCAAATAAATAACCAAAGAGGCGCGTTTGGGTTATTTTTTTTTTTTGAAAAATGTAGATGAATCCGGCAAAGAAATAAAAAATTTAATTAATTCGCTCTACCTATGCCGAGCGTCTTTATTGAACTGGTCAAAAAGTCATAATCGTCTTAATGCAACTCATGTCAAATCTGAAATAAAAGTGTGCATAAATTTAAAATACATATATGTAAAGAGTTTTATGATTATATCGATAATGAAAAAGTATTTCCAGCTGCTTAAGGTGTAAAAAATACAACTTTACAAAAAAAATATTGGGTCAAAAAAATTGTAAAATTTCATGCTTAAGAATAATCTTTAGTTATTGCAATTATTTGTTACACTTTGCTATTTTTTGTTTTTCTTTTCTCCCTGATTTCTGATTCACAAAGTTGGCAACCCTACTGACATGATGGCTAGATTATTATTCAGGAATGGACAGGTTGATAACGATTTTGAGGAATTAGGTGATTTCAGCCCCTTTCTCGTCTCTCGAGTGTTTTTAAAGATATAAATCATTTTAAAAAGAGATTTCTTTAAAAAGATTTATTTCTTTAAAAAGATTTAAATCTTTAAGAAAATTTAATTCATTTTAAAAAGATCGCATCATTTTACAGATTTACATCATTTCAGAGAAATTTAAATCAATAAAAATATTTAAATCGTTTTAAAAAGATTTAAATCTATTTTTCAAATAAAAAATCAAAGTTACTTTTCAGAAAGATTTAAATCATAAATCAAAAATCATTATTTTAAAAAAGATTTAAAATCAAAATATTTACACATCTTGTGGTATTTAAATCAAAAAATGATTTAAATCTCACAGATATCTGACAGCTCTGTCTCAGAGAGCATTTTTCTGGTGAGAGTGTCAGGGGCTTTTATATAGAATGCATAATTAAATTGTCTGTGTGCAATTTCCTTCATTTTTGCAGAGTTGTTCAAATACTTTCCCATCTGCTGTAAATTCCCATTACCTATTTATTAATGTTAGGCAGTGTAAGTATATGTGTTGAAGTTGTTTTGGTGTGGAATTCGATTTCTTGTTGAATCTTGACCAGTTTTTGTTGGATTGTTTTTTGTGAACATGATAAGGTTAAAGTATTTACATTAGTATGGGTGGTGTTTCCTAAAATTGCATTTCTAATGTCTTCTTGTGATAGTGTGATGTTTTTTATTCTCTTTGCCTGTAATAATTCGTGTTTTGTTTTTCTTTTGACCCTCACTTTTTTTCCATATGCCATCATCATCTATTTCCATCTCGGAATAGCTGCCATTGCTATCTGAAGACATTTCTTGGTTTTTTCTTTTTCTTTTTGTACCACTAATACTAATACAAATAATGTTTATTTCAGATCTAACAAAAATCTTTCAATTTAAAATGTGTACTAAAAATTTATCAGCGATGAAACATGAATTTAAAATTAAACCAGTATCTATTGTACAACTGAGATGACTAATTCTCAAGCAGTGCTTCTACTCACTTCTACTCATTCTACTATATGCATACGAACTTTTATAGATATAATTCTGAAAGTACATGCAAATGAAAATTATTTTTGGAATTTTTACCAGAAGAAAAATGTCCATTATTGAGGAGATCTGTGGTAATGAAGATTTAAACCAGTATCTATTCTACAACTGACAGGACTAATTCTCCAGCAGTGCTTCTATTCACTTCTACTCATTCTGCTATAAGCATACGAACTTTTATAGATATAATTCTGAAAGTACATGCAAATGAAAATTATTTTTGGAATTTTTTACCAGAAGAAAAATATCCAATATTGAGATCTGTGGTAATGAAGATATTTGCATTTTTTGGTTCAACATATCTATGTGAAGAAGCATTTTTTCAGATGAAAAAATTCAAATCGCAATTAAGGAGTTCTCTGACTGATGACATATCTATTCACAAGACTTGTTGATAAAATGGAATGCCACACATCTACATGAAAAAATGAAGCCAGAATATTTATCGACTAAGTACATTGCACAAAATATGTAGTAAGAAAATGTATATAAATATATTAATATTAATAAAGACCTGAATAAAAATTTTATTTATTTTTAATTTCATCCATTTTTCATCGCATTTTTCGAAGTCAATCTCACATAAATAAAAAAAATTAATGTTGATCATACAAGTATTACCTCTAATATACAGCATTGATATATGCATGAAAATATTTATAAGTGGGTTCATTATAATTATATTTTTTTGTTATTGCATGGCCAATATTACTCTTAATTACTATAGATTAGATTTATTAAGCAATGTTTGGGTTGTGACTGTTGGGTATATGATATGTTAACCAGCTCCCCAGAAAAATAAAGATGAGATGCTTAATAATTATATTTAGACATGAGAGAAATAAATAGAGTAGCTCTTGACTCAACTATCTACATGCCATGATTGTACCCATGATTACACCTCTACTGGTAGTGGGATAGCAAGTATGCTCTATTTCTGTATATTCAATAGTTATATCAATAGCACTAGTTTTCTATACCATTCTCTGCAGTAAGGAATGATAAGTTAACATATTGTGTATTAATATTAATAAAATTTTAAGCAGGTAATAATAATAATTAATAAAATTTTAATTATTCAACAGTTTGTTTTAGGTCACATCTTCATTCTTTGTACCTGAATTTTAATTTTCGCTCATGATAAAAATGATAAAAACTTTCATTACATTTTATAAAAACTTGCATCAACAAATTAGGTATATTTTTTATTAAAATAACTTAAAAATCTTGTTTTTTAACATTGTAGCTAAGATAAATTAACAGCTTTATCTCTCAATGTATTTAGTCATTTAAGACGATAAATACAGAGAAAATTCTTCTTGTATGATAATTTTGTTTTTATTACTTAGTCATTTCGTCAATTGTCAAAAGTGAAATCACAACGCAAAATCAAAATCGCGTAGCTGTTTACATCCTGTTACACCCGGAAGGAAGTGGGAAGTTCAAGACAAGTAAGTTATCTATTATTATTACTATTCTACTTACTTTTGGGATAAATACTGTGTGGTCCAGTCGATTATTCCTCCTACAACTTCAATATTCACCAATTTGTAACTTGCCAATTTAACAGGTAGCTGGTCATTGGGGTTAACAGTCTGAGCAAAGTTTTCAAAGAACTCGCGGTAGTATGTAAGATAATCATCTTTATTGGCCATATTGTCACGACGATTAATATATTCTTAAATTATCACAGTACTTCATCAAAATAAACAAAACTTATTACTAACACACACAGTCACAGAAATCGATGTTTACAATGTTGATATGTATATTTGTACTTTGATAACGGGGTTTTTTAGAAACTTGGATCAATATCACCTATTATTTGCATTTGCTATTTATTATTTTCAATGATATCGTGTAAAAATCTTAGTATCCACTCATTAAAAAGTTGGAAACCGAAATTAATCAAAGTGAGTCAACCTTAAAATAGTAAAACTGACACCACAAGACACAACACAAGTGGAAGAAGAAGAATTAAATGTCAAAGCAACACAACTGTCAATAATCAAAAGTGAAACATGTCTACAATGTTGCCATGTGTCATATAATATTCAAATTTCTAAAGATTTCTGAAATATCTAAAACGGGAGAAAATAGGGGATCTGAAGGACTCAATCTGTAGTTTTTTTTAATTTGGTGCCATTGGCGAGTAAGTGTTCTGTGCCATTGGCATCAACTACTAAGTTTAGCCTCGTGTTCTGTGTAGACTTTGTTACTGTTTCCCAGCGCTACTTTAACCCAACAGTGAATGGTCGAGTGGAGAATCCTATCTGTGCACTAGAATTAATATTTAATTCATAATTAAATAAAAATCCTTACCACCGGCAGTATTCAAACCTGAGACCCTTCGATCTCAAAGTCATGACTCTAACTAGTGACCCACCCCTTGGTTTCCAGATTATAATATTTTTTCTACAAATATAATAATTCTGTCTATAGTAAGCAGGATTATTCCCTACTCGGCCATTTTAAGGGTTGGTTTCTAAAGTGGCACTGGAAAACCAGTTACACAGCTTGCACACAATGCCATGTAACAGAATAAGGAAAATAAGAACTGGGCGATAATAGAAACATTGTAACTAACATTAAAATATAATAATTAACAATAAGATTTTTTAAATCTAATACAAATACTAATCTATTTAATAGTTTCAATACTCTTAAAAGTCGATATTTCATTGCCAATTTTGTGAAGTATGTCTTTAGCGTTATCGATGTCCTCAATATTTAAAATTTTAGAGCATTCCAATATGTATAATTCCAAAGTTTCTTCATCGTTACTTTCATTCATCATGAACTTGTTCGAAAATTGAGCCAAATTAGTAAAAACTGAGCTGAAAGCATCGTCTAAATCAAAAAGTTCCAAAGGCGGTGGAGACAAATCTCTAAAAGACGGAGGAAAAACAGCAGGTTGTAAAGGAGGATAGGGTGCTTCAAATTTTGGTGTAATAATTCGTAAAGGTTCATGCTTTACACCCAACGTTTCATATACACGTATAGCTTCTGGAACAAGATTTGTGTTCATTGAGTACATCTTCTGATCAAATAATTTCGTATAATCTACGCAAGTTGTGTGACCTATGGCGTCACTCAAACAAAGTTTTGGCTTTTCCGCTAAGGCTGCAGTTTCAGGAACAATATGATGATCCATTAGATCTATATCATCATGATCAGTTGGTGGAAAGTAAACCTTTTCTTGGCTTATTAAAAAGTCTATACACATTTCCCTTAATTTATCGTTATTATCTTGATCGATATATTTGTCTGAAAACATGTGACCAGACCCAACAGCTATTAGTTTCCCTCCTGATTTTTCATTGAAATAAAGAGCACCTACTGGCCTGTCAACTGGAAATGAAGCTAAACCACTAGTAAAAGCTGCTACACTGGGTTTACTTACGCTTAAAGAACAACCAAATGGATAAACGAATTTAATGTCAAGCTTTTCTTTGTTTAACACTGGATTTATTTGGCCATCACTGACATAACATTCTTTTGGATGAAAATATTTGTAGTAATGTGTTCTGATTAGACAATCTAGGTTTGGAATTATTCCAAAATGCTCCAGTAAAATGTTAATGTTACAGCTCTCATTTGAATTTCCTTCAGATAAAAGAATTAAGATTCTACCGCCACTTTCCACATAATTTTTCATTGAATTTATTTCGCTTTCTTCAAAAGATAACTGCGGTCCTGCTAGTATAAAAATTGTACAGTTTTGAAGTATTCTTGTTGATATCTCTTCCTTATTTATAAAAAATTTGGATTGCAGTTTCAATTTGCGTTGGAAAATTTTGTAATTCTCATTTAATTTAAAAAGTTCTTGCTTAGATGCATTGAATATTATTGTATTCTTGGTCTCTGTTAATAAGATATCATCTGTTGGTGCCATTCTTTTATTGCTTAAAGTCTTGTATATTTTATATTACAAAATGGTGTATGTTTACATTTGATGTCTTTCATTTATGTTGCTAAGCAACGATGTGGTTGAGTGGCCACAACATTAATATTTGAATGATATACAGTGTGTTTGAACATAAATATTCTTTTTCTACAATAATTTTTCAAAATAACTTTTGTCACTTTCTAAGATGCTCTTTTCTCAGATGAGAGGCAATTTTCTTATTTGAAAGAAATTAGTTTGTACTAAAAATCTAATTAAGTAGGTACTTATGACATAATGGCTATAGTTTCCAAGACAACTGGTACAGAAATATACACAAATTCATTTGACATTTTAAATGTGACTTTTTTCAATATATTGAAATAAAAATTTATATTTTTTCAATTATAGAAAGTTTAAATGTATAATTCAAGGGCAGTGTTGTGCTTCAGTTCTGTGGTTCAAAATTTTACCAGAACCAGGGTTCTTATTTATTAGAAAAATGAAAAATACTCACTAAAAGCATTATTTTATTAACAGAATATAAATTTTGTTATAATAAACTATACAAAAATATGTTTCTTGTAGATGTTTAGTATTATCTGAATTTAAAAGGACAAGTAATTGACATTGCTACGAGTGTATTTCTAGGCTCATCTATCAGCCAACTGTTAGAAAAAGTTTTTGTCAATGGTGCCATTCACTAAGACCATTCATTGGTTGACAGGTAGAAAATACCAATGACCTTATCTTTTTATTTCTCAATGTATTACGAGCTCAAAAACTCAAAAATTATTTAAAAACAATATGAAATAAGTCCATTATTAAGAAATGCAAAGATGTAAAAACAAAATATTTCTTATTATCCATATTCTGTCATCACAAGCCAAAAAGTGGTATCGCAAAAAAAATATTATTATTGTTTTTTAACACACCAGATAGCTTGAAAAATTCCGCATCAGATGAACTAAGAAAAATAGCCATATCTCTCAGAACATAAAAAAAAATCTAGGAAAAATTTACATATCTCAACTTTACTTGTATTTACTAAAAGCAGTGGCGTAGCCACACGGGGGGGGGGGGGGTCAGAACCTCCCCATGGAGGCCTTCGCGTCACTTTCTGCTATATAGTGCTCAGAAACCCCTCTCATGAAAAATGTCTGGCTACGCCACTGACTAAAAGGCTTAGGTATATGCCATTATTACTAAGGTAAATAGCTGCATATGCAACAAGAACTTCAAAAGTAATATTAAAAAACAAGAAATAATTTAAAGCAATCCAGCAGTACCTAAATTATTTTTTTTGACTTGGGGGATTGAGAAAACAACTTTAAGAAAATGTTTTTTCTCAAAACTCACTTCAACTGAGATACAGCTTTTTGGCTTAGGACAGTATTTACGTTCATAAAAATTTACTACATAAATTTAGGATCATCATTTAATTACATTATACTACATTTGTAATTCACATCAAAGGATGGTGGTATTTCACCTTTCATTTCTTTAGATTTAATATTGAGGTAACTATGTTCATAGTCTTTTGTTATATATTCTGGCAGAGGATCATTCCAATTTTCTGGAGGTGATTTTCTCCTTGTCCACACATTATTAGAATAATGAGGCAATAATCTTTCTTTCCTTCTTTGCTTTTCACTCTGTATTAATTCGTTCTAAAAAAGTGACAAAACCTGAATAAATATGTATATTTTCCTTAAGGCTTAAGAGTAAAATAATTTTGATTTCTTTCAAGATCTTACAGAAAAGTGTACAGATGCAGGATATTGTCAATAAATTAACCCAATTAAATTAAAAAACTGATTTTATAGTGGGTACTTTGAAAATATTGTTATTGAAACTAAACGTAATTTAATGGACTTACAGCTGCCTTTACATCTTGCCGTTCTTCCCATTTATAACAATTTACAGAATCTTTTTTCCATTGCGAACAATCTATGGATTTTCCATGAACAAAATATTGGTGAAATCTGGCTCGAATAGAAGTGCAATCACTATATTCTTCATCGTATATAAAACATCGCCGTATCTACAAAAATAATTCATCTTTTCATCATTTTTTAAATGGGTTATTTCAACATTTCCTACTAGCCACTGATCTTCAACTTTCGGTTGTTCCTTGGTTTCTTCTTTATTATTGTCATTATTATTTACATCTTTAGAATTATCCATAAATTTATATTTGAAATATCGAATTATCAAAATTTTATTTTATTTATAGGTTATGTAGTGTGTTATCTGTTACGTCATTTCTCATTTCAATCCGTCAATGCTCAATTCCACATTGTGCGATCGTTTATTCGAGCATCTTTCTCTATTCGCAGGGACACTGACTCTCTATCCTTGTCTATATGCTTTCGACCAAGAAGTTTCGACTCCCAACTCCAAACAGGGTTAGTAGCGCACTAGCGATATGCGCGAACAAATCTAATTTTAAAATGGGAGTGGCTAGAGGTCCGTCTAGTCGGACCTGGTGAAAACAACAGGGTCATATATATAGTGAACAGGTCCGTCTTGATACTGTGCGTAAATAAGATACATTTAATAAAAAATAATTATTGTCAATTTTTGTGGTTTATAAAAAATATAGGTAATAATAGGTAATTATTTTAAAATAAAATTTATGTTGTATTAAAAAGTACTTAATTTCTTACATGTTTTTTAATTCTGCATTTTCTTTTTCTGCAACAAAAGCATCATGGTTGAGATCATCACTTAAAAATTAAAAATTTTGAACGATTAACCCATTCATCTTCTTCTGGGACCTCAGTAAATGCTGATGGCAATGCACCTGGAATTAATCTAGTTCTTCCTCCGCATCCAGTCTTTGACATAAATATATATCCAGAAAAATATCACTATTTGAAATGTTTTCTGGAGTAAGTTTTAATATGTTTCAGCAAATGCGTTTTTTTCGGCAGGATTAGCTGGAAACCTACAAAAAACAAAAATTATTGATTTAACATCTTCAACATTATCATGATAAAATGACTTAAAAACAAAAAGCTTGTTTATATTGAAAAAATATGATTATTTTTTTTTTTAACTTTTCAGTAGAGTCCAAAATCAAAAACAATATTCCTCATACATAATACAAGTTCTTTAAATTTAATTTACTAAATTTACCATTTATTTTAAATTCATGTTTAACGGCCTTGTGAATAAAATGTAGGTACTACGTTCCTTTTAAAAAAATGGTAGAGACGCTAATGGTTATTACTTGTGAAATGCCTTTTCTTCTAGTTACAACTTACACAAACTCTCACCATTGTTAAAAGTTGTATCAGTATCAGTAAAGTAATAAAATTCAAAAAATCACTTATAAACTACAAAAATAAGTGAGAAATTAATGAAAATCAAAAACCAAATGACAGTTCTGACAATTTCGAACGATTTGACATGCCAAGCAAAACGAAACAGACCAATGGGAATGCTAGACACTATTTTTCCGCCTCTACCAAAACAAAGTCCATTTGGACGATGGCTCTAGTAATATATGCTCGAAGGTATTAAGTCCTATCATGATGAAAGTACTTACGGAGTACCAATTACTGAGTAAATTGAGTACTCAAGTACAATTTACTGAGTACTGCATACAGCTCTGCTTTGGAATCAACTGTGGCCTAAATACTTTTCTGCGATAGCACCATTCCAACAGGGCAATATTCCAACATACTATACCTATACCTGTATAAGCATTTTTACTTTTCGACGAACTTACTCTTTATTATTGTCAATTAATATTATTATTTATATTCTCTACATAATAAATTTGTTCCTATATTTTTTTAGTACTTTATCTTTATCAGTATGTAACTCCATGAACGTTAATAATATAGATGTACCGACTAGACGGACCTTTTATTTAAGTTCGGTATTTGCCGCGTTTGAGAATCCACATCGGATGCATTTTTTACATCTCGAGCATTTTTTTATCCACATCGGACACATCTGTCCCATTACATTTACGTATACTGAATCACGTGATCAAAGATTTACTACATCTCAGATGCATCCGATGTGTATTCTCAAACGCGGCAGTAGTACAAGACGGACCTGTTAGATTTTCAACCGGGTCCGACTAAACGGATCTCTAGCCACTCTTTTAAAATTGTAAACAAAAATATTTAACAAACACAAATGTCACAAATTGAAAAAAACTAAAGTTTTATAAGACATTATTTACCAGATTGGCGGTATTTTGTGATTGTTTGGTCCAAGTACGTGGTTCAGTATTATAATTTTATAAAGTATGTACCTAGAAAGTAATAAAAGTATAAAGTAATAAAAGTATCCCATATCAAATTTAAAACACCCTGGGCTCGTAGCATAGATAAATTAATATGTAAGGCTGTGGTAAAAAGAAGAACAAAACCTGATTCAGTTATTACTGCTGTTTAAATACGATTGGAATTTAAAAAAAAATGACCACAAACTCAAACAAACGTAGAATCACAGTCAAATATAAATCCGCCAACCCTCTATTTGAACAGTGGTTAACAGAATGGAAAGAAGAGGCTAAAGAAAAGGGATCTAAATTAGAATTCACGTACCGAAACGCTGTATTATCTCTAAAAAAATGTCCCATTTCTTTTAATTCTGGACAAGAATGCAAAATATTAAAGGGATTTGGGGATCATTTGTGTCGTTTATTAGATCAAAGGTTAAGAGATCATAATTCACAATTATCTGATAATCCACGGACAGGATTAAATAATAGTGAAACAAATAATGATGAAAATTGTAAACCGATAAAACGTAAAAATAATAAAACTAAAAAGAATACTGAAATCACTTCTAAGAGTAAAAACAAAAAAGAATTAATTGAAACTCCTGAAATTGAAAATGTGGCAATAAATTACATTAACGAATTTGAAAATGCAAATGATGTTAATGCGTTTTCCAACTATTCAGGTAAAAAAGCACACCATTTAATTTTTGTTCATATAATAGGGAAGATGAATGTTTTGAGATCCCTTGATTCTTATTGCAATTAAATATAAAGTTAATACATATTCAAATAATCAGAACTGCTAAGTGAGGTTTATAAGCTAAACATATTTATGAATTGCACTTTCCATTAGTTGAGTAGGGAATAATTCCCCATCTCTAAAGACTACAACATGTAAAAAACTTAGGACAGTAGTAGCTCTTTGCCTTTTTTTAACATCATATTTTAAAGATAATCAGAATATTTATATTACTAATTCCTTATGGGACTTCAAATAATTCTTCATAAATAACTTTATCTTCTAAACCTCAGCTGAGTAACACAACCTAATTGTTCATTACAATATTTTGTCAATTAATTTGACTGCTTCCTTCTAGGTCCTCTTCTTATGCTCCAGTATTCCTGAGCTATTTTTAAATAATCTCCCAAATTGTGCGATTCATTTTTTATTAACCACATTACACATGCATACATGACTATTATTATTTCTAAAGGATTTTGATTTTAAAGTTCCAAATCATATTTATTCTTTTTTAAAGCACCTCTACTATTCATCACCAATCTTGAATGTCAAATGTAATCTTGTTTGCATCCTGTACTTCAAAATGTTTTATTTATTTCCAATAGAAACATTATAGTTAGGTAAATGGTACAAAAACAGTTCGCTTTGTACACAGTTCATTCTTAGGGTCTTATTGAAATAGTTTTGTGTATAGACTTGTCTGGCATTGAGCATGTATTGAGTCAGTACTCACTGCATCTAGATAGAATAAAAAGGAGATGGATGCTATGACGATACTAAAAGTGTCCTCACTTTTGCATTACACTGTTTCATCATATGTCAAACTCGAACTAGTAGAGCTAGTGAGTTTTGATGAGAATAAATGCCATTTTTTTTATTTAAATAACTATTTAAATGTATAAAAACATTTTCATTCTGTCAATCGTTAAATATAAAATGATTGACTTCAAATAAATAACAGTAAGACTGTAAGTCGCCATTTTCATTACACTTTACAGTCACTCAAAGTGAGTCCATCTGTCATATAGCAAAATAGTATTTATATCATCTCTACTTCATTCTATCTCGATGCCTCACTGCATATGCAGCAACTTATACAATGACATACTTTTTATATTTATTTATACATATACTTTTTCGTAGTTGTGAATAATAGTAGTTAGTTAATTCCAAAACACATTTATGTACATCTAAAACACATTTTTTTGTAGGTGAAAAATCTGAAAGCCCAAATAGGAAAAATACAATATGCAAAGTACCTTCAAAGGAAACTAACCAGACTGAATTCACCAATTCCCAACATTCTGAATTTGCAAGTTCCCAACATACTGAATTTACAAATTCTCAACATACTGACTTTACAAATTCCCAACAAACTGAATTAACAAATTCCCAACATAGTGAATTTACAAATTCTCAACAGAGTCAAGTATCATCATCATGTGACTTTTACATATTAGAGCCTGGAAACTTTGATGTCATTTTATATATTGATTCATCAGAAACTACTACTGACCCTTTAGATCCTTTATTAAAGGAATTAAGCAAATTATCAAATGTTTGTCAATTTGAAGTAAAAAAATTACATGTTGGAGACTATATCTGGATATGTAGAGATAAAATCACCAAGAAAGAATTAGTTTTACCTTATATTTTTGAAAGAAAAAGATTAGATGATTTAGCTAGTAGTATCAAAGATGGTCGTTACAAAGAACAAAAATATCGTCTTAAGAGAAGTGGTATAGATAATAAGTATTACTTAATAGAAAAATGTAAAATACATTTTAGTTTTCCTGTCACATCTTTACAGCAAGCGGCAATTAATACTGCAGTGCAGGATGGATTTACCATCAAAATGACTTCAAATTTGAGTCACACAGCCAAATTATTAAATAAGTTTTCATTATTATTAACAAATAGATTTGGGAATAAAACATTAATAAAGTGCCCAAAAGAAAATTTAGGTCCTGTCAATTTATCTAATGATTTAATTTCACTAATGAGTTTTAATGACTTTAACCAGGGTAGCATTAAAAATAAACCTATGATGGTGACTGATATGTTCATCAAAATGTTGATTCAATTAAAAGGAATGTCAGTTCAAAAAGCAACCGCAATTACTTTACAATATCCTACTCCATTATTATTAAAGAAAGCTATTGATGAAAGTAATAATGATGATTTCCAAAAGGGCCTATCAGAATTAATTTATGAACAGCAGAAGGTTGGCTTGCCTCTTAGTAAAACTGTGGTTCAATTGTTTACTTCCAGACAGTTTAAATAAATACATTGTTATGGCTTAGCTTTTATTAATTAAATGTTTTTATTAGATAGAAAATGTTACTGCAATCAATTGTGTAAAAACTGAATATTATATTAACATCCTTATTCACAAAGCATTTTTAAATAGTTACCTAGTATAAAACTAACCACATTTTAAATAGTCAGTATCATTAGTAAAATTAAAATAAATGAAGTAGTTTCCTCAAATCATTGACAAATTAAATATTTGTTTATATTTTTCTAGAAAACCTTTAAGAAATCAATAGAAAAACATGTAAAGAACATATTTTAGCAAGATTAAAATAACATTGTCCAATTCCATTCTACATTCATTATAATGACGTGTCTCTCTTTAAGGTTTTGCATGTGGGTAAATTTAAAGATGCTTTGTAAATTAGAGGCTATTAACAGAGAGGTTTAACAAACAAAAAATGTGAAAGTTATGTTTAGTTCAACAGTTAAGCCTGTCAATAACTTAAATTAATTTTAATTAAAATAAATGTTTTTCAAAATGTTTATTGATTTTAGATATAGTTTTAATGAAATAATTCTGTTGTGATTTTGATATGTTTCGAAACTGGCTCAATTTCCTGTAGTGTATCATGAAGCTACAAAAACTCAAGATACTGATCTTTCAATCTCAAAATATCTTGCCATTCCTTATATTATTATTGTCTTCCATTAATGCAATAAATCCATGTGTATAAAAATGAAAGGCAAATGGCTTTTTTGCCATGAGTATCAATGTCATACACCAGAGTATTACTTTCAAATGACATTTGGCTGATTCTCGTAGCTTCTGGAAACAAGTTTCTTTTCTTGGTTCTGGAAGAAATAAAATGACAACACTGACTAAATTGATTTACTTATATTTTTAATAAACAAATGTTTTGATAATGGTATATGGCCGTCATGTTTCAAGACATCTTTTGTTATACTAATATACAGGAAAGTATCTAATTACAGACCGATTTCTCTCATCCCACACATCTCTAAAATATTTGAAACTTTATTAAAAAAATAGACAACTCCTTTATTAAAAAATATAACGTAATCTCAGAGCATCAGTTTGAATTTAAGGAGAACTAGTCAACACAAAATGCAGTTTTAGAACTGACAACCAAAATATATAATGCGTTAAATGAAAGCAAACCATGTCTTTCGTTTTTCTAAACTTATCCAAAGCCTTCGATACGGTAAATCACGATATGCTACTAGAATCTTTGGAAGATATTGGTATAAGAGATAAATGTCTGAAATTGTTTAAAAGTTATTTATCTAACCGAGGCCAAATAGTTAAGATAGGGAAATAAGTGATTTTAAATATACTGAGTATGGAGTTTTGCAAGGGATAATCTTAGGACCGATATTATTTAATATTTATCAACAACTTGTTTTTATTAAAAGGAGCTGGCGACATAGTAGGATTTGGAGATGATACTGCCATATTTTACAGCGATGCTACATGGCTCAGACTTACAAATAAAGTGAAACTGACCTTGCAAAGATAAAAAGCTGTTCGACAGTAAGATTCTTACTCTAAATTTAAAAAAAAAAACAATACCTTTTTCTTGCACCATGTTAACACTCACAATGTCGAACCTCTAACATGTACTGTTAATGGTTCAACATTTGCCATTAATCCTGTAACTAAATTAAAATATTAAGGAATTATATTTGACTGCAATTTGAAATGGAAAGATCACATTACATATGTTATTAAAAAACTACAAACTATTTTATATAAATTTAAATATTTGAAGAAATGCATAGTTACCTTCAAATTATCTGAAGACTTTATTATTGTTCGGTTGAAAGTCATATAAGGTACGGGATAATTGAATAGGGGTGTACTCTCAAATCATACATTCATCCACTAGAAGTAATCCAGCGTAGGTTCTTAAAAATAATTTTTAATAAATCACCTCGATAATCATCGGATGATCTATATAACGAAAATGGAGTGCTCGATGTTAAGCAGCTATATTACCTAACAGTTGCCTTAAAATATCAGGACATTAAAAAGCTAATTAAAAGACCTTATCACAAACATGACACACGAAAAAAAAAATCCTTATACACTACCAAAAATGCAAAAATCCTTGTCAACGTTCTTTCTGGCATATTGCTCAAAAAGCTTTAACTCGATCCCAGAAGACATTATTTTGGAGAAACAATTGAATTCTATTTCTAGCCTTGAGTTTTGTATTCCTTTTTTGTATATACATGTTATTAATATTCACCAAAATAAAAAAATAATTTAATTAGGTTTAATTTATATTATATAATATTAAGTTAGGTGTACTTCAAATGTATTGGTTTTTATCTGTTTTGTATTTTTTTTGTCTTTATTTTTTTTATCATATTAGATTTAATTTTATACAAATATATTAATAACTGAAACAGGTGTTTTTCACCTATTATTGGTTTTTATCTGTTTTGTATTTTTTTGTCTTTATTTTCTTTTATCATATTAGGTTTAATTTTGTACAAATATATTAATAACTGAAACAGGTGTTTTTCACCTATCAGTTCGTACTACTTGTTCACACTGTTTAGTCTGTACACACTTTGTAAATATTTGTGAATAAATTATTATTTTTATTAAATACATTACCATTGTCAAATTGCCTAAAAAAGTTGCTTGTATAGAAACAACACCAGAAGTTTACCAAATGAGCAAAATGTTCGGTTAATTCCTTTTTGCGGTTTTTTTTTTTTTAAACACGTTCGAAAAATTTTATTCAAAAAACCTTAGTTCAAAAATACGTTTGTTAAGAATGAGAGATTATTCAAGAAACTTATATTCGAAGATACTTTTAATCGCAAACTTTATGTTCGGAGATAGTTTTCTTTGAAAAATATTTCAAACAATACTTTCGAATTCATTGATTAATGAAAAGCAATAAATACGTGAAGAATAATAATTTTATATATTATAGATAATACTATTATTTGAATAAGGTAGGCAATGTTCCTTAGGCACTGTAGTAATTCATCCGGACGGACATGAACTGAGACGGTAAAGTAGTATTATCGCAGAGGGGATGCTCTAATCCCACATATAAACTATGATGGTTGAATCTAAATGTAAAATAAATAAAAGAACATATAAAATTAAAAAAAAAATATTACCTAAGCTGTGCGGTCTGGAGCCAATGGTGGGTTGCTCAAAATTACTTTAAATGAGAAAAATTAAAACTAGGAAATATATTTATTGCCGGACCAATTAAATTTATGTTTTTATTTAAGACATCTTATAAACCTTAAAAATGTATATTGGAATAAAAATAAATTCTAACAAATGTCGATCAAAATTATTTTCGAACCAGTTTTTTTTTTAACGAAACAATTTTTGAAAAATAGTACTTTCGAAGAAAGGTATTTTAGAACTAAGGTTTTTTGAACAAAAATCCGCTAACCGTTTAGTAACGTTTTTATCCACCCTGGTCGGATTTTTTAAAATATAATATATTAATGGTTAGGAAGTTGATTCCCCAATCCATTTGCTATTCACTGGCGATCTTCGCCCGGAAATTGAAAAGTAGATTGTATAAACATAACAGCCTAATTGGGTTAAATTACTTTAAAGAAAGATTTTTCTACTATTGCTATACAAAGTTATATTTTTTGAACAATTTACTTGAGTTGAATCTTTATTGGTTATAAGCAGGTAGGGTTAGATATGGCCCAGAACACTGCGGCCTCTTGGGTATATAGTATTCCCCTGCGCTTTCCCCGTAATCAGGTACTACATTTGGAATAGTCCTGTACCTCTGGTTAGTTTTACTAAGTTACCTAGCAAGTGTTCCTGGGCCGTTCTTTTCGATTCTAGGCCGAAAATAGTGACATGCCGCCTAGCAAGAGCTATGCATTCAAAGGTAACATGGTATGATGTTTCTTCCTCTTCCATGTAGAGTCTATACACGTGGTGGGATCATTGTGTAATCCCATAACATAAAGGTGTTTCAGTAAGCAATGAATCCCGCAACGGTGGACATCTGAGGCCTTGCGAGTTGTAGTACCTCGGTAGCAATGCGTGGGTTTGGTCTTCTTAGCATGAGCTTACTGATTTTGGACCCTCTTATCTGTGAATTTGGTGTTTTGTGGTTATCCACCTGTTTACTGCCTGAGGTTTTGCTTATACCAAATACAGGTTCGGGTCCTGTGAATGCTAGTTCCGATCCATCTTTGACGAGTTTATCACCCTTTTCATTTCCTTGAATACCTGTGTGTCATGGTACTCACGCTAATTTTACCTTGTTGTGGGTTGCCAGATCATTTAGACAGTTCCAAGACCAGCTTTGACTTGATTCTGATGACACAAGGGCCTTTAAGGCTGCTTGGCTGTTTGAGAGAATTAAGATGGTTTGTTTCTTGTAATTCTTTCTTAAATTCTCTCGTACACGCAAATCTATTGCATGTATTTCAGCCTGAAGTAGGTACAGTGGGGTATATTTTCCCAGTGAGACGATGACATCGCATTGGGGTTTAACTCTATGTACGATAGAGCCCGGTCCCTTGTTGTTATTTTTAGATCCATCCGTATAACATACGAGACCACTAAGCAAGTATTTATCTACCTTCTTATTTACCTCGTTCCAGTTGCAATTGACCTGAAAGAGTCTGTCGGAGGTTAGACGGGGTGTCATATATGATCTGATTCCACGTTTAATATAGGATCGTTTACCTCGTGTGTTATTCCCAGTGGTTTCCAGTTGTTGGAGTATGTCCAGCCTGTACGTACTCATTCTGGCCTCAGATGACTAGGTCAGGAGGTGGAAGGTATAGAATGATTTACTTAGAGGCTGACGGTGTTTTTCTCAGTGCTCCTGTACCCCTAAGAGGGTATTGAGGACTGTTTTCGAATTTACTTTTGGCCACCAAACAATCACTCCATAATTTATCATGGGTCTTGTTATTGCCGAATATAGCCAGTGGGCCATTTTCGGTTTCAATCCCCATGTTATCTCAAATGCCCGTCTCCCTACAATGAGAGACATTTTACATTTGTCGGTCACTTTGGTTCGTTCTTTTTAGCCTTCCTCCAAACAGGGTCGGAGTTTCTAAGACCTACAACCTTGTTTTACGAGTAAAGGTTATGAGTTGTGCCTTGCCAAGGTTAACCAAGAGGTTTTTTCTAACGCACCACATTTCTGTCAGCCTTAGATCTCTTTTCATAAGAGATCAAAGACTATATGGTCTGGGATTTCCCTCGGATAAGGATGAGTATGTTCAATTGTCTCAGCAGTTCATCTGCCAATAGGTCCAACATTAGAGGAAAAAGGACTGCACCCTGTGGGCATCCTCTGAGGATATTCACCTGCATGGTTTCATACTGAACATTTGTGCCTCTACTTGCCACCAGCGTAATATATGTCCTCTTTTCACCAGCAGATGGAATAGAAGTCCATGTTTGCGAGCGGCAGCTACGATGATTTAAAGGAAGTATTATCAAAAGCTCCATGTCAATAAATGCTCCTCATTGATAAGCATGTCAGGTTTCCCTTCTTCTTGATAATACATATAATGATTTCACATAATTACCTCTGACGGTTATATGGTTAAAAACTGTAAAATTTAATATAATTTTGTGTTCTCACATTTTAGATAAAAATATTTGTATTTAAAAAGTAAAGTTATTTTAAACAAAATATCAACTTTGTCTGACGAAAATAGCAATTCCAAAATATGACATTATTACTATAGTTTGTTAATAAAATTCAATCTAATAAAAAAAAATTCGCAACAAGATAAGTAAAACTTTCGCAGCGCAGTTTGTAGATCAGACTGTATAAAGTTATTATTAGATCTTGTGGTGCCTCTGATGTCTTTTTGTTTTCATTTCTATTTTTTTATACCACAATTTACTTTTTAAATATTTTTGGTAAAAATGTACCTACTTATCGATATATTTACGAATGGCAAAAGTTCATTCAACAAATAATAAGCAGTCGTTATAAAAAGTGTATAACATGTGCGAAAGCCCATTTTCCTACTGGTTGAGTTGTGACCAAATTTTTCTGCGCTCGTGGGAATGATGTCGTTTTTCTCACTTGTTATACAAACTAATTTTTACGTTCAGATTTCAAAACGCATTTCTGAATAGGTTTAGTTTCGCAAAATTGATAATTTTTCATAATAATTGAAATATGACTACGGTGTGAGAAAGTAACATTTCTGTGCCGCACAAGTTCTTTCTGCACAGTTTCATTATTAGCTCGTAAAAAGAATTTTTAAGAAAAGAAAATTATATCATATTTGAACTTACTGGTAAAATTAGTGCTACTCATCGTTTAGATATAGGCCAGCTAATTTTCAAATGACAAAATTTATACCCTGTACATTTTCTCATTTTTGTACAAATATTTATTTGTTAATAGGTAATTTAATTACTTAATTACATTTATAGTGATTATACTTATACGAAGATTCTACAAAAATAACAATAATTATAGATAATCAAAGTATACTTTGTTGCAATAAATTTTTTAGCATTGAAGATCGTAAAAACAACAATTAAAAATTTTTCATATTTCGTAACATGACTAATACTTTCTAATCTTATTTGCTTTATTATTGCAGTTATGACTGTTTCGATTTCAGTTTCAGACAACGCGTGACTAGCCGATACACTAATTCTTTTTATTGGAAGTTTTACTTAAACCAACATGGTGCAAATCGAAGGGAAATACGCTAATTACAAAAATGAAAATTTGGACGCCTATTTTGCCGACATTGGTAAGTTTGGCATTTTTATTTAGACAAAACTAGTGTGGGGTTTCAAAATATAGTGTTTCACAAAAATATAAATTTTTGGGGGTATGCCTATTCCCGCTGAAAAATTGTACCAAGAGTCTTTATTTTGTTAATAATACTCAAACTATTAATGTAAAAAAAATATAACGTATTTGTTTTCTTTGGAGAATTTAAAAAAAGTAAACTTCTCTGTTGTCGAAAAAATTACCCGTTTTAAAAAATCGTTATTGGTTCGCCTTTTCAGCGTTTTACGACAGATGAAAACTTTAAAAAATATTTTTGATTTTATTATCTGTCTCGGAAATATTTGTATGTATTTCTGCTTGGAGATTCAAATATATTAATAACATAGGGGCGTGTCAGGTTAAGAATGGGACACAGAACAGACTGAAGATTATCTGATTAAAAAAAAAACGAAACTTGCTTGGAAAAAATATTCGTTTTCCAAAGTTAAAGTTGAAAATTAAAAATTATTAATGGCTATAATTGTTTTGGTTCTTAGTATAATTTTACTAAATTTATCAAACATTTTTGGTATCATAAAATATACACCTATCGGAACAAAATCAGTTAAATAAACTTTGCCAGTGCGGTACAGCAGGGGCAAGTAACACCTTCATCCCTTCTAACTTTTACGCCACTGCCCAGAAACTTATTTGAACAATAATTTTAAATGTTTTGATGTTTTTTAAATAAATCATGTACTTTTGTTGAGAAATTATAAAGTGATGTATATGATTTATTAAAAAAAAACAAAAAATGAAGGTGCAACGTTATATGTCACCAAGAACGTTTACTGAATTTAGTAAAATTGTACTCAGTAATAAAAAATGTACAGCCATAAATACTTTTTTGAATTTTCAACTTTAACACTGTATTTCGGAAACGAGTAACATTTTACCTAAATATTTTTCGATAAATCATCTTATTTTTAATCAGAGAATCTTCAGTTGTTCCATGTTCTATATTCTCAATGCATATTTAGCAATCGCATTAAAATGTTCATATATAGGCGGTTGGGCATAATTGGCGAAATACCAGATTTTTGGCTTTACTGGACTATTATAGTAACAAACAAATGTTCGGACATGTCGATTTCATAACAATAACGAACAAATTTTGATCTCGGAAATACTGTTAAGTAACATATCACGAAATTTGGCGCTGCTACGCAAAAAAATGTGCATTTTTAATTTATACCCACTATCAAAAAAGGATGTTGCCATTAAAAAACAAATTGGCGATGACGTCATATCTAGAATAGTAATGATGTTATAAAAAAATATACGAATATCAAAAAATAAGCATATAAAACAAAATCGACCTGTCCGAGTTTTTTTTGATGTATTCACTATTCGAGATACGACGTCCATCACCAGTTTTTTTGAATGGCAAATAGCACATTTTTCGAATAGGAACACCATAAATATTTTCAAGATAAAATACTTTTTAGTACCCAATTGTTACGAATGCTAAATATTTTGTGAGAATTTTTTCTTGAAAATATTGTTATGTAACATATCACGAAATTGGGCATGTAACAAATCAGGAAATTTGAAGTTTGTACGCAAAAAAATATGCTCTTTTAATAGGTATTGTAAAAAATCGGCGGTGACGTCATATCTCGAACAGTGATATCATAAAAGTTTATAAAAAAAAATGTGCATTTAAAAAACAAAAGCGACTTGTCTGCGCATTTTTTTGTTACTTGTCAAATAACGCGAGAAATTTGATATGTTCCGCCAATTACGCTAAACCATATGTTTTTTATTAGGCAAAAAATTTAAAAATTTTAACAATAGTTGAACATAGAGAGCTATAAGTGCTAATTAAACATCAAATCTTTTACTGAAATTTACAAAAACTTCGTGTATCCATAATTTTCTCACTTAGCTAAGACATGACCCCGTACTACAAGGCATCATTTGCAATTTTGTCGAAAATGATTAGACTATATTTACAAACTACTTCGTCACACCAAAAATACTTAGTCATAATAACGTCATATCTATTAAATACCTATGATTTTGGTTACTTACGTTAAAGATAATATAATATAAGATAATATAATACTTTCATTTCAAAACCAGCCTGTCGAAATAGCTTATGATTTTACTTAAATTTAAGTAATACAAAAAATATATCAACTTTTATTGATAAGGCGACGAATCATCATAAAACATTCATACCCAGAAATCTAATACCCTAGAGCCCGGCAGCAACCCCTATAATTTTTATCTAAATAGAAAGTACCATTTAAAAAGTAATTTTATGGAGAAATCAGTAATATGACTATTCAATGCATTACTTCTGATTTTAGCGCAATCTAGCAGGATAAAAAACTTTCGTATTCTAGTGTGACCCTTCATTTGAAAACTAATTTTATTACTAATTTAATACACAACATAATAAAACATAATTTAATGAAACATGAAGTTAAATAACAAATGTATGCATTAAATCACTAATAAAATTAGCTTTCAAATGAAGTGTCACACTTTACAACAGTTTTTTATGTCACTAGAGGGCGCTAACATTAAAAGTAAAACAATGCGAAGTCATATTGCTGAATTCTCCATATAATAATTACTTTTCAAATGATGTTACTTGACCAATTTAATCTACTTGACCGTACATTGCTATTTAAAAAAAATATGGGTTGCCGCCAGGCTCCAAGGGGTTGAATTTTTGGGTATAAAATTTATATGACAATTCACCCCCTTGCCAATAAAAGTTGACATGTTTTTTATTTCTTAAATTACGTAAAAGGTATTTCGGCTGGTTTAGTCCAAGATCCCAGAGCGATAAGACATAACTTATTTTCTAAAAGATGAAACTTTAAGTTCTCAGTAGTGTCTCATGTACTTTGTATACCTGCATGTTTGTGAAGTTTGCCCAGTGACACCTGGGCAGGTACCAGGTGAGAAAGGTGACTAAAAATAAGAGTTACTTAACTTAAATTTATATGGCTTTTTTTTTTTTATATATTTTAATAGAATATCATTCTCAAGTAGTATCGCAAGTATCAGACATTTTCCATGGACCAAAACTTTTGTCAGACGCTTTAAAGCTCCACCAAAAATAAATGAACTTCACTTATTTTTTAATGTCTGATTTTTGAATATGTTATCGAGATAACCATTACAAAATTATATTTAATCAGTCAGACAAATTGGAATGACCAAAAATCCCCTAAACACAAAAATTATTCGGCCGTGAGTGCGAGAGCATTATGCATGCGTTTCAGAGCGAGTGAGACGTCCATAGTAACCCGGTTCTCCTTCTTTAACTCACATTCTGTTTCAGTCTACTGTGTATGTGCGCGCAACGTATAGTATACATTAGTATAGTTCGGATCTCTGAGAGCACATATTTTTGTTGTTTACATCGTGTCAGTTGTGAGCTAATTACATTGCTAGCATATGGAATAATGCAAATGAAAAACAACCAACCATCTTTACTCCTGAAAATAATGGCTGGACGTTAGAAGATAACCAGTATCACTTTCATTGGTTTGATGGTGACCAATTACCAGGAGACGTCAGTGAAGCACTTCAAGATCCAGATGTACTTTAACTTTAGGTTTACAATTTATTTTTTGTTTCATATTTGTATTTTTATGTTTTGTAATTCTTTTATTTGTTTTTTACAGAAGAAGCTGACAGCAACGACAACAACATAAATGATGACGATAAGAATGATGACTCGAATGGACAATATGACTGGCTCAATAATGAAAATTCTAATGATTTTGATGATGATAACGATGATTAAGGACAATCAAATACTTTCACTTACTAACTATAGTTATTTTCTTTTTTACTAAAATTATTTTTTCTTAAAAATGTAAAAACTGTTATCTTTGGTAAAAAAAAATAAAAATAATTTTTTATAAAACACAATTACTCCGAAAAAAAATTAATTTACCGAATATATGCAATAAATTGTTTTACTTTAATAATTATTACCTTAATGTTAAAATTCATTTTATTTAAATAGAGATGCAAAAATATTTTATCGAAAGTACTTTTTGGAATATTTAAATTCTTCGCTTTGACACGCATGCGCATAGTGCTCTCGCGCTCGTACTCACGGCCGAATAATTTTTGTGTTTAGGGGATTTTTGGTCATTCCAATTTGTCTGACTGATTAAATATAATTTTGTAATAGTTATCTCGATAACATATTCAAGAATCAGACATTAAGACGGCTCTCTATGTACAGCGGCGTTGAGAAATGCTGTAACCTCAAAATTTTTATCGAAACTGAGGGCGGGCCTTATTTAATGCGAACGAGATTAGGTCAGACAAACTTAACGTACGGCAAGTTCCAATTCACAGGCGATATTTTCAACGCGAACGAACGGGCATGTCGTTCAACACTTTTTCAGGTTCAAACGCAGTTACTTCCATACACAGATAGCACTTCATGGTCGGAGGGAAGGGTTTTTATTTTATTGCATTATATTTTATTTTTATTTATTTTATCAAAACTTAAACAGGCCTTGCGGAATATTTATATAAATAGTAAATTTTAAAACGTTTTTTTTAAAGTCGTAGGTATTAAAGATATGGTTTAAAAGTAAACTAGAAACTCTAAGTTAAAGTTTATTTACAAAATCCCCAGTATCTATAAGAATTTAGACGGCAAATATTCAGATGTTTACACATATGAAACTAATTGAAGCGTGGACGTACCAAAGGCACTAAGTGACAAAATAAAATTATTTTGTGTATGTGCTTAAAAAGGTTGCAAATACCGTCACGGGTGGATACAATATGCGCCTCTACTAATTATTTTTGAAAAAGGGAAGATTTTTCAATCTAATCTTGTGTTCATTTTGCGTCTGAGACCCAATTTAATTGCAGGGTCAGAACAGGTAGCAGGTAATCCGTTAATGACATTTTAAATTCTCGAAATTAAAATTTATAGGTAGATAATCCCATAATGATATTTTAAATTCTATAAAACCAATAACATTAGTAGATTGCACTTCATAGAATGCATATCTTATTTTAACATGATTAAGAAATAAAATATTTTTAAATATCCATAATTATTTCTTCTACCTAAATTAGAATTAAGTTTTGTTAATATTGTACATTTTATATTAATAAATATTGTCAATTATTTATTATCGTTTTTTTTTTTTTTCATAAATGAACCATAAATAAATAAACATAAATTTACCAACATTATCAGATTTCACAATTGATGCCAGAGGCGCATATTGTACCTCTCTATTTTTACCTATTTTGAACTGAGGCGCAAAATGTACACAGGCTTATTGACCCGATCACTAAGAGGCACAAAATGTAGTCGCCCACCGTCACCAATATCTCCACAAAGGTTCTAAGAGCCATATAATTTCTAAGCTTATGTGAATTAAAATAAGGTGGCGAGTAAAAGCTAAAAGAATTACACAAAATTGGTATCCTATCTTAAATTTGTGAATTTGGTTGTTAGTGCCTTTGGTACTTCCACTCTTCAATTATTCTGGTGTTGGATTACGAATTTCCATCTTCCTCGGGTATCTAGGATCTATTATTTCGGGTAGGATACAGGTGTAATAAAATTTTTCCAGCTTTGGTTTCATTTCATTAGTCCAAAATAAATCGTCCCGATAAATCTAAAAAAAATACAAACTATTTACATTACTATTCATAGGTATTTGCTGATTCGATGACAATTAATTTTATTACGACAAAAACAGAAATAAGCGAGAATTGTCGCCTATATTAGTTTGAAACTCCAATATGTTGCCAGAAAAACATTTTTATCTCATTTTAAGAGCTAATAAGACTCACTTTTTCAACTAATATTCCCATTGGAGTCCAAACTACAAAGTAACATAACAAACGTTGAGTTACGTGTAGCTGACCTTGTACTTGATAAAAATAGTTATGAGTTTCTTTCAACTGCATCTGAAAATTTTCATCAAGCTTACAAAATTTTATGTTTCTTTTTTGGATTGCTTCCAAAGGGTGCATTTGTGATGCAGTTTTTGGGCATTTAACTTCTACAATTGCATCTGTTCCGATCAAACCGTCAGGACTCGCTCCAAAAATACAGTCGTGTTCATCAATAAATATTCCGCATTGTTCAACCTAAAACCAATTGATTGAATTATTTTAATGAGCACTAAAGTGAAGCATTACAGGGTTAGGTACCTTAACATTGAACTCATTTTCTAATTGCCGAATAGCGAAAGGCTCATGCTCGGTCCCGTACTTGGTGCTTTCATTCCCTCTGAAGGACGAATAAAGCAAGTTTTTTATTTTATTCGCACGAGATGTCGTTTTTCGAATCTTACAAATTTCCCCATAATTTGAAGCTGTCAAGCGAAGTATTCTCTCTTGTTGCCATAAAGGATTTCCTGCTTGACCTCTTGTGTTTAGCTCAATTATTTTTATTTCCTCAGGCGTTTTTTTTATTGAATTAAGAAATTCTGCCTTTTTCCTCTCGAACTGATCTGAAGGTAAATCCGGATCAGGGAGAGCCGCTGGACCATAGTCGCTGTCCGGTAGAGCAGGTTTCTTGTTTGCTTTTGATGAAAAGCTCTTATTTTTCTGTCTTATATTCTTCCGTAGATGACGCCTTCTTTTCATTCTTTGCTCAAATATCTGAGTATAAATCGGAATGTTTCGCTTTCTAACAGCACTGTAGTATTCTCCTGCGGTGTTAAATGATATTGCAGCGGCTTTACAACGAGTTTCGTAGGATCCTTTTCTAGAAAAGTTTATTCGTTTACCTCCAACAAACTTGCAAATGATGCTGTTATATTGTTCAGCAATATTGGTATCCATATCAGAAATCAAGCTGGCTGCATTGAATATTAAGCGGTTGAAGCAAACTTCAATATCGTCTAATAAGCCACAAGCTCTCATGCTGGGAATGTGATTAATTTCATTTACCTTTGGGGAACATTTGAAATACGCGAGCTCCTGACATTTCTCATGTTGTCCAAATACATGTGATGGAACATTCCTTAGATCCTTGCTTAAATTGTTGACTTTTTCGATAAATGAAACGTTCTCTTTAATTCTGTACAATGTGGCAGATTTTATAGAGATCCGTAGTCTACGGGCATTGTTTTCAAGAATTTTTCTGAGACCAGGAAGTACTGACATATTTTTGGAACAACTTCGTTTTCTATCTGAAAAATTAAAATAACTATAAGTTTGCAGGACACTAAAAAAAAACGTCAAATACCTAATAAAGGTTCTAAAGTTATATCTTAACATCAACTTGTAAATGTATAAATAAATAGTAAAATATATAAGAGACATACTGCAAATATCCCGAATCTTTTTGGAAAAATTTCTTAACATGTGATTGCGGCATTCGATTTTTTGTACCATAAGAGTACCATACGGCCGGGCCTCTAGTACTTTTTGATGCACACTGCTATCACCATCTCCAATCAACTTGTGATATTTCAAACCATGCATTTCAATGCTCCGTTTAAAACCTTCAACTATGATATCGGATTCCATACTGGTTGATGATTCTTTCCAATTTTTGTAACAGTGGTGTTCGGCTAGGAGTTCATTTTTAGCAACTGCTGATCGAGAACATACAGCACAATACTTATTTCTGACACCCAGGAATAATATTTTTTTTGTTCTCGCTCCAATGATACATGCCTGCAAAAAATGAATATGTAGGTAACCTAGATCCCATCCAGCAATTTGTGAACATTCGTGTATTGAATAACATGTTCACAGATATATTAATTATATGTAAACTATTGAAATAAATATATATTTACCACTCCTGAAGAAGCATTATAATTCACGGAGTAAGATCTTTTGCTCCATGCCCCATCAACTACAACGGCAATCAATGGAATACCGTCTTCATCGACCTCTCCTAACTCCCGAGCTAATCGAACCTCTTCTTGACCTGCTGCCTCCAAGGCCTTCCAGACTGTTTCTTCTATGATATCAGCGACATTTTCGTGATGTTGCTGATAAGTAGAGTTACTCATACATGGTACATTCAAAACAGAGAGAATTTCGTTTACTGTTGAGTAGCCAGTTCCTGTTGAAACTGTGGCCAACGCTAAATCACTATTAATATCAATTTCTCCTTCTATTTCATCTAGTAGACATATAGTTTTCTTAATATTGCACATTTTACATTTGAACACGATTTTGGATTTCAAACCCATTCTATATTCATTAATTGGGTACATATCGCTAAATGTACAGTCGAATGGCGGATGCTTGGATATTTCCTCTATTTGTTTAAAAAAATATCCAATATCAACCAGGCGTCGTCCCTGTACGTCACTGAAAAAATTATATATGGATATATTTTTTTGGAAAACTTGAAAAAAATCAATACAAAACTCACCTTTTAAATAATGAATTTTTTTGAGCTTTCTTTCGACTACGTCTCTTTTCACTACAAAACAAACGTTTTCCTTTATCAACTCCCTTCGTTTGTTTTATTCTTCCCATAATTACAAAATCACACAAAAACACTGCCGACAATGAACAGAATAAGTCCGCGAAACCGAATTTACAACAGAATAAATAAATGTCTACCTCAATCTAGTCAAAATCACAAAAACAAATAGAAATAAAATCTTTCCGTAGGCTGGAACGCACGACTATGGTGTTACTGGCGGACGGTCGCTTGGTAACTAAATCACTTATTTACCTGTTATTTGGCTACCGCGGCGCCACTAATCAATCTTTGCAAAATGCACTTTTTATTTTACGCCCCAAAGGTTCATTTATCATTATTTACAAATGAAAATTATACCAAAGATTTTAAAAAAAAGCTACACTTTCGGGAAACATATTAATAAAAAAATTGATAAAAATATTTTAAAAATATTAATATGTTCTTCACAATAAAAAAAATCAAATACTTTCCCGTTAAACAGATTTTTTTTTTAACCGACTATTGAAAATTTCATGAAAATCGGATATGTGATATGGAAATAGAAGGTAAAATCGTTTCAAGTGAGTATGAAGCCCTCTTAAAAAATAAGTGAAGTTCATTTATTTTTGGTGGAGCTTTAAAGCGTCTGACAAAAGTTTTGGTCCATGGAAAGTGTCTGATACTTGCGATACTACTTGAGAATGATATTCTATTAAATATATATAAAAATCAGCCATATAAATTTAAGTTAAGTAACTCTTATTTTTAGTCACCTTTCTCACCTGGTACCTGCCCAGGTGTCACTGGGTAAACTTCACAAACACGCAGGTATACAAAGTACATGAGATACTACTGAGAACTTAAAGTTTCATCTTTTAGAAAATAAGTTATGTCTTATCGCTCTGTGATCTTACTCTAGTTGGTTTTAAAATGAAAGCAGTGTATGAAATGAATAACTTTTGCAACCTTCAAAAATCCCTATTAGGTATTAGCATTGAGATAGAATAAAGAGGAGATGCTATGACGATGCTAAATTGTCCGCACTTTTGTATTACATTTTTACGTCAATGTCAAATTCGAGATAATGTAGCTGGTCAGTTTTGGTGAGAATAAATGCCATTTTTCTTTAAATAGTTTCATATAATGATATAAAATTATTTTCATTTAGTCAGTCTTTAAATATAAAATTATTGACTTCAAATAAATCAAAGTACGACTCAAGTCGCCATTTTGATTACACTTTTCTGTCACTTAAAGTGAGTCCATTTTGTCATATCGCAAAATAGTGTTTATGTCGTCTCTACTTTATACTATCTCGATGGGTATTGGTCAAAAATTGTAGAGAAGAAGCTAAATATAAATTGCGCAAAATTAAATAAAATTTTTGTCATCCACACAAGTAACTTTCATTAATTTTTGTCAGTACGATATATTTTTACATTACTTTATGTCAAAATATCAATTTCTGTTGATAAACGGGAGGCCGGTTCTAGAAATTGCTCAAAATAATTTAAATATGGGCTTATTTCTAAATATACAATAAATTATTTTAGGTGTGCCATATATTCCGAGAAAAATGATATGTTCTTCCAAACCTAATATGGAAATTGTTAAAGAAAATGATACATGGACAATATCAACGTCAACTCTCTTGAAAACAACCGTTCTAAAATTTAAATTGAATGAGGAATATGAAGAAAGCATGCCAGGCGGCACTTTGAAGGTAAAAAAAATTCCCGTATAAAATTATTTTTTTATGGAACGGAAGAGTTTGACATTTTGCCTCTCTTCAAAGGTACTAAAATGTAACTTTTTATGAAATTACTTTTTGCCCGGAGAAAAAGTAGATTGGATTTTTTTCCCGGATACATAGGGGGTGACAATTTAAAAACTTACAGTGGCGACATCTCATGAACTGAGGTGCTTTCGAGCAACACCGAATAAATTCAGTTTTTATGAAAATTAAGTTCGCGGCGGATTTCAACTTACTTTGTTAAATTACATCTTTATAGAGCAAAACCGAATAAATCTTTGTAAAATTCAGGGTCGATTGATGTTTTTGTGCAAAACCTAATAAATTCACTAGTAAGTGGTGTAAACAACACACCAGCAATCGCTGTAGTTTAAAAGCAGTTTGTAAAGGATATTTTTGATTTGTTTTGCCTCTTATATTAGTGCGCGTAGTTTTGAATTTTGATTTGAGTAAAACTGAATAAATCAATTTTTTTGTCATATTTTTAATAAAAATCATTTTTCAAAATTATAATTGCAAGGGATGTATTATTAATGACGTCTCCAATAGTATTGTTTTAACTAAACAAACGAAAAAAACAGTACTTTTTGTGCAATTGGAAAATCGTGTTTTCCCAAAAATCGTATATAGTGAATTTATTCGGCTTTCCTCCAAAGCTCCTCAACTAAAGATATCAGAAAATGCTTAAAACCGGTTATAGGATACGGAGGGGGTATTTAAATGACCAAATACAGAACTCATCCCTATTAACCTTCTACGCGCCGTCTACCTCAACAAAAAAATAGCCTGTCCCTTACTTGTAAAAATGCTTTTCAATGGTATGTTATATACCCCATACAGGGTGGTTCAATAGTACATAATAATTAAAAACCTATTTAAAAAGAATTTATCTTAATTAAATATGGTTTTACTTTTCTGATATTATCTTTAGTTCATGACATATATTCAAATCCGTAAACTAATTTTGTGTGCCGACCTGATGAAGGTCTGAAAGCGAAAAAAAGTGCCTGCTTATACACTCATATACGGGTGGGGGAACAAAAACTAAAATTCCTGCACATATTATAACTACAGAGTCGTAGCCAGGCGCTTGCCCCTCCCGCCCCCCTTGTTGATTGGTGCCTATATTCACAATAAACAGTTTCTTTTATTACACCCTGTAACATTTATTGAAATTGCAAAATATTTGGTAACATATTTTTAAAAACAACACCGTATTTGTTTGAAATGCCTCAAATATTATTTTTTCTAATTTTGACATATAAAGTGACATTTTCTATAACCGCAGCAAGTGTCAAAATGATCTATTTTACACAACCAGTTGCATAATGTTGAACATTATGAAACTGATTTTGAAATAGTATATTATGCAACGATCATGTAATAACCATTACATGAGAGTTGCATACGCTATTTTTTCTACACCCGATAAAAAATCAAGAACTATAAATATTGTATGTATATTTGTATTGAACACAATAACAGTAATTACTCGTATTTCTATAAAAAAATCTACAAAATTGTAATTAATGGTATTACGTCGGGTATTGGTATTACCATAGATTTTTGGGGCAAAATATTTTTTACTGTATTTTAGAGGAGTCGATAGTAAGTCTTCTATATCGCTGATATTAGACATTTAGCTATCTACGAAAATTTAATACGTACTGATTTTGACAACTAAAACAATTACATAGGAACCTAGGACAAACGTCAAATGCACAGCATGAAAAATTATGGGTTTCTATTGATTAAAAATCTGTATCGTTATGAAAAATCTGTATCATAATGGGTATCATTATGAAACGGATTATGGGCATATAAGTGCATTATTATAATACTGGTATAGAAAAAATTCATTATATCACTAGTTGAGAAAAGAAAACAAATAAAAATAAATAGTTTTTACTTGAGTAGCTACAACTCTAATTTTCAAGTTCCTACCTTTAAAAAAATTAAAATCTTATTTAAACTTTCACCTTCCGTTTTCCCCCTTAATACGTAAAAATCCAAATACCCTGAAACATGTCTATTTCAAGTTCCTATCACTTATTATGCTCAGTAGCAGTATTTCCAATTTTCATGTTTCACTACCACTATGCAAAAAATCATCCCCGATCCCATGTTCTATGAAAAACAAATCTATCCCACGGGAATTGTACATTTTTTCGGGATAAAAAGTAGCCTATGTGCTATTCTAGGCTATAATCTATCTTCCAGATCCGTTGAACCGTTCTTGCGTGATTGGGCAACAAACATCCATCGAAACTTTCGCATTTATACAGGGTGTTTCCGAACTTGGCGTCCAAATTTGTAGGGGTGGTAGTTCGCATAATTTGAGACCGATTCGCAGATTTCATTTTTCCAAAATATTTAAAATAAAAATAATTAAAAATTATAAACAGGCACGGTCCTGCACAGCGATAGGGCGCCTCGACTCGCGCGCGCTACGCTTAGAATCGACAAAATTGCAAATCGCATCTGTTTTTGAGGACTATTGCGCTACGCGCTCAGGGTAGGACCTGCTTTTTGATTTTTTTTATAATGGCTCTATTTTGTTTATTATAATTTTTTTAGAAAAATGAAATCTGCCAATCGCTTTCAAATTATGCGAACTACCACCCCTACAAATTTGGACGCCAAATTCGGAAACACCCTGTATATTAATAGGATTAAAAAACACCTCCATCCCAAGAAGATCAAAATTATATTCATTTTAAACCTTTAAATTGTCACCTACTTATAATAACACCACTTCGCCTTCGTGCGATATGGAAATCATATCCACTCTTGTGGCACAAACTACTATTGCCTCCGCTGAGACGAACAGTCACTGACAGAAAATACACCTTTTCTCCATTCGTCTCATAGGGAAGAAGACACGTGAACTTTGTTTTTGATGTATTTTGTTTTTTAGAATACAACTACAATGGAAGGAGATAACAAATTAATTACAAAATCAGTTGGACCTGGCGATATCAAATCAGCACGCGATTATGAATTTAATGATGACGAATGTATCATTGTAAGTAATACATATTCCAAGTTTAATAACCACAACCACCAATAATAAAATAAAGAGTAATTCATAAAAAATGTGTCTAATGTAGGCCAAGACCTCACGAGATACGGCTCTGAATCAAATCCAAACTGACACTTGAAAATAATATAATTGCTCCGATATGCGTGAATATTTTAAAGGCCTACTTAAAAAAAAAATAGAAGAATAATTTAAATTTATAAATTTGTACTTAACTCAAAAAATGAAAAAAGTGTACCTCTTCATATTCCAAACCCCTCAATTTTTTTTCTAAATGACTGGATTTAATTCCGAGGCATGCATCACTTAAGACGTATATCAAATTTGTTTGGCACACAAATTACGACACACTATACTCTGTTTTTAAACTAAGAGGAGCGATTTGAATTTAAGTTGGCAATTCTGTAGCCTTCTGATTGGTCAGATTACAGTCAGTTTCACACATTACTTTTTAGCATGAACATCAGCATGAAAATCAAAGTATGTGACATCAGCTAATAATTGATATTGTTGACAGTTCTGACATTTTATAATTTGATATCTCATCCATTACTTAGTTTTTTACTTTATTTCGTAAATAATAGTTCTTCAGTAAGCAATTGTATTGAAAATCTACAATTATGGATCCTTCTACACTGAGTACTATTAAAGGTAGCAATTCCTGAAAAGCCTTACAAGAAAGGGAAGACACCTTATTATTTTACATGCTGATTCTGAAGGTTTTGTAGAAAATGCATTATTGGTTTTTGAAGGTAAAAAGATGGGAGATTACCATGAAGAGATGAATTCCGAAGTATTTTAGAAAAAAATAATTTTATTACTGATTTTTTAAAATTAAAAATTGATGAATTTCTAACCAAAATGATTAAAATGTAACTAAATATTCAAGCAAATTTTATTTATTACAATAGAATAAAACTATTTACAAAATTATTATAACATTTAAAACACCATCTACTACTTTAGGGATAATCTTAATTTGGCACAATGAGTTAACATTATTTTCACAAAAAATATTTTAAAAATACTTAAAATTAATACATAGGTATGTATGAATAGTTCACTTTAAAAAATATATGTTGACATGTAGTGTTATGAAAATGTTGGTTCCAGTTTTCAAAACAAATTCTGACTCATAGGCCTGTAAACTTTTGAATGCCTTTATTTGTCCTCTAGCGCATTAACCATGGGTTAACACTAAATAAGCCATAATATCCACATTACTCATAGAAGAGATACCAACTGTGTGATCCACTTGTCATTCACTGATTAACTTTTACTTTTTATACCTATAACAAATATATCCTTAAAAATGTAAACATATCTTTATATTTTATACTAACCTGGCTACATCTGGATATTCCATTAACAATTTTCTTAAATATTTAATATCCATTTTAAAAAGATCATAGTTATTCTCAAAAAGTCGATTTCAAAAGCAAGAAAAAAGTATTTCTGACATCAATCAACAACCATATTGACTTTAAATTGACAGTGGCATTTCGTTTTAGACACACATTTCAGATCACAATAATGTGAAATTTGCGACCGTTGTCTGGGACCAATTAAAAAATTACTTCTATGGCATTTATTCGTTTCTTAACCGCTCATTGGCCGTTCACCGACTAAGGCCGATAAAGATAATTATTTCATAAATTTTGAACACGACTATATTTCAAAACTCGTTCTTAGAAACAAATCTAATTACTTTTCCCTGTGTAAATGCGTCTTTTCAATTCGCTCCTCCTAGTTTAAAAACAGAGTATAGTACCTTGTATTTTAGTTGCATTTACGGAACCAATTTCTGACGGTCTAGTACCTACACCAATACATACTAGGTGAGTTCGGTGTGTCCTGGGGTTGCAACGGGATAGGTGCCGAGTTTTTTAGGATGCTTTTAACTGACATTTAAGCGTGTTGAACTGTCACTAATTGAAATAAACGGACGTAAAAATGTCGTTTGGAGATAATGGAACTTGGCTACCCGAACTTACCTACTAAAGTTTTATTTTAACAGTTGGTTTTGTTTTTTCTGTGCGTCGTCAAAATCCCATATAGAGGCTCCCGTAGACCAACCCGAAATGTCGCCTTAAATCCATGATTTTAAATTCACAATGAAATAGTAATACCGAGTCTATTATCAAAGCTGGCAATAATCACTGCTCGAAGTTTTTTTTTCGGACCAGTTTTTTGCTTTAAAATTATACAAATATATTGCGGATACAGTTTTGGTGGCATTTTGAAATATTATGCCCTGAAAATGTGGTTATTTTATTAAATTATTTTTAACAAGAAACGTAGGTAAATTTATTCATGTTATTAGCAGCTTTTATCAAAGTTGATATTGAAAAATAAAAGTAGCATTAATTTGGATACCATGCAGAATAGAAAATTTGGCTCGCCATTAATAGTACAAAATCCTAGTTAAAACTAGCACTTACTTCAATCACTTAGCGACATTTATTTTTAACGGCTATTTGATTATCTTCCGAACTTTTGCAGGATTAACAGTGAAGTAAAGACACTGCGATGCACTTACATCTATGTTTATAATGATATATAGCAAACTTTTAAATAATGACTTCTTTAGCGGGTATCTTCAGTTGGACTGTTATTTTATGAGGTTGCATGACAATGACGAACATGACTCATTGGCCTGTTTTTGAAACAACAGTCATGATGGCGATTGCAAATGAAGTATTTTAAATGCAGAAATACTAGATTTTTGCCGTTTTTGATCTAATATACTAAAATTAGGTACCAAGCTTAAGTAGAATCCATTAGTAGGTCTTATTTTTTATGAAATGTGGAGATAGTCAGCTTTGATACTAATAGACTCAATTGCAAGCAGTAAAATTCGCGTTGGTCTGAATAAGTAGGATTTTAGCCGTAAACAGTACAGCAGCGCGAATATTCGCGCCTATGAAGACTAGAGAGGAGCGAATCGGCAATGGTCAAATTTCCGTCCTTTTTATAAAGTTCGCAAAATTGACTGTAGTTGACATGTCGAATAACAGCGGTGTCAATTTTATATGTAAGTCAATGTAAAATCCCAGTATATAGGTAAAATGAAGTGATTTTTTAAAAAATTGGTGAAAAGAATCAAAATAATGTGAAAAAAAGTACCTGAGTACAAGTAACATGAGTGACAAAAAACATCATTCTAGATTGTAAAACAGGATACAAATCAAATGTAAAACTAAAGAAAACATAAGGAGAAATCAATTCAATGTCTTTTTAAAGCTTCTAATGTAAGTAAAATAATGTATTTGTCTAAATATATTTATTGTAAACTAGTTACAATATGTATCTTACGGAGTGTAGTTTATTTTATTAAAAGTTTCTATAATATAAAATTTTACAGTACTAGATCCTGACTTACAAACAACAATAAATTGTGTCATTGTGAATGGTTTTTATAGGATACTAAACGCTTAGAACAGTGGCAGCATATATATCATTCCTCGTGCCAATAAAGCACTTTCTAGAGATGATGCTGTTCTATACTATTTAGAAGATATTATCAAATATGAGACTATTTTTACTGATGGTACTGTTAGCAAAATAAAAAAGGGAAAGCTGAAATTAAAGGATGAGGTAATGCCATGTACATTCCCAAATCTCCCTTTATACTTGTATTATAACAATAAAAAATCTGTTAGCTGTGTTTTATTATGCTCTTAAAACTATATATAGGCTCAATTCAAAAAAAAATTGCCACAAAATTGTACTTTCAGCACATAACAAACCTTTTCGAAACATGCAAGACTTATTGAGAAATAAATAAAACAGTATGTTCTGTGCTTTATTTAGCTATAAACAAGTTTATTTTTATTATTTTCACAAAATTATTTATAATTCCCATAAGAAGCCATGTATTTTGAACACCGTAAGCAGTACCAGCGCCCATGCGGTTAATTATAAAAGCTCAATTAGCGTGCGTTTTTTGAGTATGCCGATTCGCCTCCTTATCTCTAGTCTTCATATTCGCGCCTGCCGCTAAATTTCCATGTTGGAAGCCTATATAGTAGAAATGTATCAATAATAACTAAACAATACTTGTTGCTTACTTTATTTTTCTTTTTAGACCTTTTCCAGTGAAAAAACAACTCAAGTTGCTAAAAGATTCTTCAAGAGAGTTTAACTTTACCTTTTTATGTTTTTGTGAAACAAATAAATGGACAAAAACAGGAAGCAACTTGTCTTTTATTTTATTAAACAGAAAATATTAAATTATAGTCACAATTTTTTTATTTAAACAAATAAAAACTGGAGGACTGTAACAAAAAAATTAAAATAATGTAACATAAAACAATTTTTTTTACATTTTGTTTTAGGGTAATTTCCTACACTTACTAAGTATTATACCATTTCTATGTTATTTTTGTGATAAGCCATATCAGTCACAAATTGAATCTTCTAGTTATTCTTTTTCCATAAGTTTTAAAATCTGCAAATACAATAAAATTATTAATAATTAAATCAGAATTTTCTGTCGAGTTTGTTTTAAGACTGTCAATATTGTAATGTCATAATCTATGTGCACTTTATAACTCAATATTTCATTAAGTTTTATTTGTGAAGGAATTCAAAATATTTTCTAAAGTGTCGTCGATCTATGATTACCAAATAAGCTTCAAGACTTGACTGAATAAATGTGCGATATGGTCACTTTTTGATCTAGGACAAATTTACTAAATAATTTTATTTTTCTGACTCTTGTATAAGTAAAACCAAGATATTTCAAATTACATCAATTTTGTAGTAATGTTATTTTCTTTACAGCTAATTGTGAATGATTTAAGCAATCACTCTACTAAAGAGTAGTGTTACATAATATTACATATATAGTTCTACATATTATATGAGCTTGTCCGGGAAAGGGAGGACTATTATTATTTGCCGTAGCGCTCCAGGGCAACTTGCAGGTGAGGAGAACCCCACCCACCATCATCGAAACGGTAACGCCTGGCGATTTAAAATCTGGATGGCATATCAACAGAAACTAAATTATTGCTAATGTGGCACCCATCAAATATTATAATGAATCATGCAAATTAATTAAAAATTCCCATGATTTAGTCTAGGATTTGAAGCAGAGTGTCGCTCAAGCCCAAAAAGACCGGTAAGTGAATATCTGCGCTCGACACAACTGCGCTACCGAGACGAAATATAAAAACCAAGTAAATAGGATATGTGCAAAAGAAATTAAACTAAAACGTTCGTAGCATGGAAACTAAAAATGACTAGGACATGTCACATATTAAATATATTGCATACCAATGTATTTTAACGTCTTAGCAACACATTCAATTTATGAATAAGCAACACGAAACTTTTGAGAGATATTTTGTGAACGACAGTTAGCCCTAGACAGTAATATTATATAATCTACTGTTATGTGACAGTGCATTTAATGGTTGGTTTTAATAATATGAACCCATAAAAAATGTAGTAGAGGGGACTGACCTCAATTAATATAAAATTAATCAAGGTTAATTAACCTCACTTTAATCTAGCACTAATGTTTTATAAAATAATACAAATATGTTATTTCTATTTTAAAACATTTCGTGCATATTTTTAATAATAAAAAAAACTAAATCTTACTTTATTTCTTTGCTTGTTTAAATGCATTAGCAAAGACATCTCCAAAACTTCTATTGAAAGATGGTACTGGTTCATAATCTTCAGTTTCTGGTTCACTGTCGCTAGGTGGACGTATCATCCTTGATTTCATTTTGGAACCAGTGACGTTTATCAACTTTACAGGCTCAGATGATGATGATGCTGAAGCAGATTTCAAGGAGGGCCAAGCAGGTGTCGCTTTTTTCTCACTTGTCAGCATCTAACACAAATACCGTTTTTAACCCATACATTTAATATATTTCAAGTTGTTAAAAAAACAGAAAACGATTCTTAATGCCCATGATAACTAAAAAATACAATCATACAGATATTGCACGTTTCCCAAATAATTTATAATAAATATGGCACCAAATCAATATAGTATTTTGTATGTGAAAGCTTCGATTGATTACTTTCCGCGAGATATGCCCTCTGGAGAAAATTTGTAAGAGGTGTCTATAAGTATGCCTTTCGTCAGGGATTTTTAGCCCTTTTTTTTTAAATAGCAAAATTTGTGTCTACCAATATGGTTATCACACTCTATATTTATTTAAGGATTTTTATAAAACCGATTTAATTATATACATTTTTTTAATTTCAATTCATTTATCAATTTTGTTTTAAAATCATTTAATCAGTTGGCAACATTGGTCTTGTTGTGTTGTCCGTTGTGACAGTAATTTTTATCAATTCGGAATTTTCTTGTTTGTCAGCATTAAATTTATTTCTTATAGTGTGTGATAACTGTGATAGTGTTTATTGTTAAAAATGAAATTTGCGAAAAACCTCCAGAAAATTGTATCTATATTGTTATAATAAAGATTGTACTTTTAAATCAAAACGGAATCGATAATTTTCCAAAGAAGGGTAACTGTAAAGTACTAAAAAAAATTAATGGGCAATTGAAGATCTTGGCGTAATGAGGTTACATGCCACATCGTAAGTTTTGAGAAAATTGAGTTAAATTTGTTTTAAATCTATCAAATATAAATAAAAAAATTATTTAAATATAAATATAAAAAATAGCATCATCTTTTGGATTAGAGGTAAAAAAAAATTGGTATGTCCTTGTTAACAGATGTTTTGACCTAAGACAGTAACTTCATGACAAATTGTGGCTTGCGTCCTTTTTACACCAAGGGCTTCAATTATGAGAGGGTCGACATGCGAAATTTATTTCTTTCTAAAACACGAAAATAACTTTTTACCTGAATACCTCAATTATAATAATTTTATACACATCTAAAAACAATTAAAGAATCACATACAGGGTGTTTCAAAAAAGGTGGCCCCGTTGCTAGGATAGGTAGAACACTGCGAAATAAGTTGGGTTTGCTCAGTAAAAAATTTTCGTAACTGCACCCGTTTTTAAGCTCGATAAAAAAAACGTATGTAGTGTAAAATGTTACACTTCATTTAAAAGATAATTTTATTGGCAACTCAATTCACCACATAGAATTATTCTAAATATCTCCATATTGTACTTGCAACAAAATAAAGTTAGCAATAATGCAAAGAATTTTTCAGAGTAATGCAAATACAATATGGATATATTTAGGTCATTGTTCCACTGAAGATGTGATTATAATGACCATCTAGGTAATGAAACGGCTTGTAGATGGATTTATTTGTTTGGATAATAATGATCGTTTAATAATAACATATTTTATGTCATAAATAATATTTATTGAAATATTTAATATTTTTATTTTGGGAATATATAATTATTGCATCTTAAACTTTTCTATAGTAATAAAAAAAGTGTAACAAATCATGTTGCTTTTGACGAATAAGACATGACCAGTAATAGTAATGTAAGTATTATTTTTTGGGTGTTATGTGTATGTACCATTTGAAAGTTTTTCTATAAAACTTCATGTTAATTAATATAAATAAAGGCAGGTTCAGATGTACATCTTTTGAGACACCAAAGGTATCATTTATGTGGAAGTAAAAAAAAATAAGTTTATTATCCATATCCATCCAAAGCTTGATATTGTCAAACATAATGATCACATTATGTTTGATAACTGCTGTTGCTATGGCTACTTTGTTTTGTCTTGAATCAATGTCTTCAACATATCAGTGTCCATTATGTTGTTAGTTATAAGGAAATTATAAATAAAAATTAGTTCTCCAGTTTTTTTAAGACACTCTCAAAAATTATCTAAAGGGTATTTAACATAAAGTATAAAAAAAATTAATCAAAATTGGCAATAAGTAAAAAAATGTGGAATATTATTACACTTGGGAGATTGTTGATTGTAAAGAGTTGAAGTGTTTCCAGTATATTTATATTTATGTAAACGTGAACGCCAATGCACAAAAATAATGTTTATGAAGTCCAAAATATGAGTTGAAGTTGTTTAATGCATCGTGACATTTACGTGCCATGACAGGTAATGACAATTAATATTGGTATTTTTTCTTTCCCAATTAAAAATGCATGCCTAAATGTCAATTTTTACGTTCATAGTGTCACTTCAACTCTCTTATATTTAGGCAAAGGGTTGTCAAAGGGGACATGTCAAATTTAAAGTAGCATACTGACTAAACATTTTTATTTTACCTATTGATTTAAAAAAAAATATATATTAGTTTCGGAAGATCAATTAATAATAATGAATTAATACAACTTTAGTATTCTTACCTTTGCAAAAGAAGGTCCAGAATTGTTTGTTTCAAGAGATGTATTAAATGATGATCCAGATAAATCAGGGGATCCACTTCTTTCACTAAGAATAGTACTTTCAGATTCTGTTCGTAATCTTGACTCGACACCAAATTCGGGGAATTGAATATTTGATTCTAAATGTAAATTGGGATGAGAATATTTTCCCATTTTACGATTTTCTTCAACTTCAATACGCTTCTCACGGCGTTTTTCTTCTTTTGCACGTTTTTGGCGTCTTTTCCTGCGAATCTCTAATTGTTCTAAAAAAAAGTAATTGAAATTATAAAAAAATACTTGTTATAAATTATTAATTTTTAACTTTATGCTATTTCAAGAATTTTTTAATTTACATATTAGGATTATTTAGATATAAGCATTTTGTGAGAAAAATGTTGAAATGGTATAGTACAGTCTTTTTTGTCCTAAAAATTTAAGATTTAAGAATAAAATCAAAAATGGTTGTGGATTTCTACCGATTTTTCTCAATGCAAAGAAAAAAATTCTTAAATAAATTTCATTTTCGCATTACATTGGACATCAAAGAGTGGACGTCTATCTATAAAAAAATGTAGTAGAGGGGACTGACCTTAATTAATATGAAATCAATCAAGGTTAATTATCCTCACTTTAATCTAGCACTAATGTTTTAGGAAATATTATACAACAATATTATTTCACATGCATTTTGTGCAAAATATAAACAAATAATTTACTAATATTTACAATATTTACTTAATTTTGAAATTAAGTGTTAAATTATCTAGACTTGTAATTTAAAGTCCAGAAGAATTGAATCGTGGAATACACAAATGTATTTCAAAACAAAAACAACTTACCATGAAAGTGTTCAAAGGTTTCTTTGTTGATAATTGGTGATTTAAGTTGGATTTCAGCAACTTCAAACTGACAGGTAACAGGTAAATGTTGAAGGTATCTAAGTCTTTTTCTGAGGTCTTCAGTCATAGACCCACCTTCTTTTTCAAGTATTTTGCCAGTCAAGGTTTTTGGGCCAAACTCTAAAGAACCATAAGTGTATTCCAACATTCTGGCGTTGATAGCATGGAGATAAATATGTTGACCATCAGAAGCTAAAAAGAATGTGATTAACTTTTTTTATAAGTCTCACTCTCTCGATTTAATATAAAGTAAACTCTCTCGATTTAATATAAAGTAATTAATTTTGCATTAAATTTACCTTGATAGAAGTAAAAATATTTGGAAGGTTGACTGCTAGAAGAACCTTCTAAATTTTCATCAGTGTCAATTGAACTTTTTTCGTTATCTATTTCCAATTCTTCCAACAAAGTTTCAATTGGTAACTCTTCTATCTGATCAATTTTATTTTGATCACTGTCGGTTCTGTCCAAATTTAAGGTACTTTCCCTCTCTTTCAGTAGGACCACAGCTTGTTCGATGAAACACCGTTCAGGTGAATCATCATCTATTAGAAAAAAATTTTTTAGTAATAATTGTTGCATTGACATTCTTTCTGCTATTCATAGGAAAAAGGAATACAATGCAAAAATATTGTAGGTGCCTGATAAATATTCACAATTTTATTTTATGTGAATTTACATTGTCAGAGACCAATATTATTTTCCAAAGTTAAAATTTCGCAAAGCTCATTAAAAGAGCAATGTGTACTCAACGCTTTGGAGAAAAAAAATCAAAAACTGTATCAGTATAGTAACACATGTATCACTAATATCTTATATTATAAAAAAATTTATGCAACGCATCATCAAAGTGATACTGCGTAAAAGTGTGAAATATTGGCATACAAAAATAAGTTTAACAAATGTTTTGTCTTTAAAATTTTGCCATCAAAAAGCACACAAATTTATTTATTCTAGATATTTAGACTATTTTTCATGTACTAACCTTTAAGTTGTAATACTAATTCATTATTTTCTCTGTCAATAATTGATAAAACGTCTACTGTACTAGCAAGAAGTAATTTGGAATAAACATCTTTAGCATTACTCTCAGACATGTTAAAAATAACATTTTCATTTTTAATGTTGGTGTCTGCAGGATAAGCTATTAGACAGCCTCTGGGCCTCTTCATTAATTTGAAGGTTATTATTTCAGTTGTGTTGAAAGTTGCATGGGGAATCGCAATTACACTAAAACATAACAAAATAGTAATGTAATTATTTCATTAAAACCAATTTATGCAGCGAGACGAAAATTGCGTGTACATGACACTAACACAGCTTTATGAGCTCAAAATAAGTTGATTTAACCAAACTTATCTATATACCAATTCACTAGGGTGAGAGCAACAGACATTTTCCTTAATTTTTTTTTTTAGAAAGGGTAAAATTTAGGGAAAATGTCAATTGCCCTCCCCCCTAATGAGAAGCTTATGATGGCAATAGAAAAATTGTAACTGCTGCTTTTCATTGGCCATAAAACACCTAGTATTCATACCAAGTTGGATCTTTAAAAATGGCTGAATTCTGGAGACTAAAGGAAAAAACACATATTTTTATTCAACTCTGTTGACCTCTAGCAACCAAATGTAGCAAGTTGGTATATAGGTTAGTTTGGTTAAATCAACTTATTTTGAGTCCATAAATTTGAGGTAGCTCCATGTACAACAATTTCTGGATACTCTGTATATTATCACATTTAAATAAAACAGTCTTACCTCTTTAAGTCTTGTTTTTGAATATTATCAAAGCAGATTGGACACTTTCTAGAAGGTTTATCTGATAAGGACAAATAATGTAGAAGACAAGACCAGCAATAAATATGGCCGCAACGAGTCATTTTAGCTGCCACTGGTGGATAAAGACAAATCGGACAAGATGGAAATTCTGATACTTGGACATTCTAAAACAATTTAACGAATTATGCAAAGTCCTTTCAAATTAAGTAAAATATAAATCAGTTATTTATTTTATAAAAGGATTTTATACTAGATGAAGCAAAGTAATATCAATAGGAAATAAGCTTACCACTTGTTCAACCAAATTCCAGTCTACTAAGGCATCTGGGTTGTTCAAGTATTGCTTGTAATCTCCAGTATCTTTTACAATAAATTGACAACTAAAATAAATTGTTAAATTAACATTATGCACTTTCATTACAATTATATAAAATAAATGTGATTCTTAAACTTGAATGTTTCATTAAATGATTTTTATAAATTCATACAGATAAAATGTAATGTTAAACAGCAAATGATGAAAGCTAACAAATTATTAAATTTAATGAATGTTGCTAACAATTAGTTTGATGTAAATAAACTATATTTACTTGGCTTGTAGAAAATGCTCCTTATTATATTTATGCTTCTTGGTCCCCAGCATTCTATTCCCATTATTACCATGGTGCCCTCTATCAGATTGATAATTCCCCCTCTCCCTTGGTGTGTAGGAGAAATTCAACAGGTGATTCAGGCTCTGCTTCTTACTGCCTGGTAAAAAAACTGAACCCAATTCCACTTGTTGTTCCTCTTCTACCCATAATGTCTCATTTCGAGCCACAGCTCCAGAATTGTAACCCCCACCACCACGGGGCCGGGGTCGTTTGTCGAAAGGCTTAACACGATGCGGTTGGGGTTTGCGGGATACTTCAGATTTGGTGGATAGACTGCTGCCCGCAGACTCGCGGCGTCTACTGCCGCCGAGCCACGGTCTACTGCTGACGCCATCTAATATAAAAAAAAATCCTCTTATTTTTTTAAATCGTAGATGATATTCAACTGCTCGAATGTCGCCATTTTCATGAACGAAAATTAAAATATTCAAATTCAGTGCCACAGAAAGGAAGATTAACAATGGTTTTTCTGTATGTAGAAGCTTATAGTTAGTAACAAATCTTAACAAAACGGAACATAGTCACATATATAGATTAGGGCCAAAGTCAAAGAATGTCAAAAAAATCTTCAAATTAAATCAAAGAAAGAATCTTGTTGACAAATTTGTAGAAATATAAAATAAAAAACAAATAAAACAGTAGGAACAAAATTAAATATCCAGTCAGAAATTTGTTAAAATAAATAAAAGACAAGGTAACAATTTAATACATAAATATATAAAAAATAAATCAGTTACAATGAGTCATTAAAGAACTCTGCAAGATTATAGTAAGTTTTCTCAGCTAGTAGACTCTTGATTCTCTCCGGAAGGCCTTTCATTTTAAGTGTTTCTTAATTCTAATGACAGGTAATTGAAACTTATTTTCCCATTATATACTAAGGAATTTAATGTGAGGTTAGAGGTTGATATTGGCAATGGTAAAAAATAAGTCAATCTGGTATTGTTTTTCGATAATGTCCGTATATCACTTTTGTATTTTTTAAATACAAGCAAGCATATCTCAAAAATGTACAAATTCATTAAAGTGAAGATTTTATGCTGTAAGAACAGTGGTCTGCACGAGGTTTCTGCAGAAACTTTACATAAATAACATACAGCTCTTTTTTTAGAAAACAAATATCCTATTAATTAATTCTAAAGAACACGGTCCCCAAAAACAAATACCATATCTTAAATGTGACTCAATTATTAAAAATTACATGCTTTTTGCAGCTGAGAAACTGAGATGTGCTGCCACAGACCTTAAAGTGAAGCATCCTGAAGATAATTCCATACATAACTTATCCACATGAATACCAAAGTTTAAATTAGAGTCAATATGGAACCCCAAGAACTTATTTTCTTGCCTGCTATCAATAAAATTTCTGCTCAAATAAACATCTGATAATTGACATTTAAGTCATAATATCCGTTTTGGAAATATTCAATTTATATTTTGATTATATCGGAATAAATCATTTTGGATAAAACAGTTGGATTTGTGATATGCCATAAAATATTGGTGTCATCTGCAAAAATTGTGAATTCTCAAACGATGTTTAAATTTGCCATGTCTTTAAAATAAATAAGAAAAAGAAGAGGACCCAAAACAGATCCTTGAGGAATCCCACACTGAACAAGACATTTTTAGAAACTTGCTTATTCAAAGATACTGACAAATATAATCCAAGCCAATTTATTGCAGTTCTTCTAAAACCATATAAACCATTGATAATCTTTATTTTAGGCCTGAATATGGCCTTTGGGTCGAAACCGGTAGCTTCCATTAACATTCTGAGTATTTTCATTTATCTCTTTTTTTTTTCGGCTATAGGATAAAGCCCCTGTTCAAAAAAATCCAACCCCAAATATAAAATCTAAGACATTATTTATAGATATTTAGCCTCGGTATATATCAATATTTGATTATTCTTATTAAAGCAGAGGGACTTTGGTCTAATGCTATTGGACTGAATCATCTGTTCATCAAAGTTAATTAATGACAATAATAATTAATTATAATTATTAAAAAAGAAAACAACCAAGATGGAACACCCTATATAGCCATTTTTTACAGTATATACTTTATAAAATAGTAATTAGTCAGGAATTTCGAATCCATAGGTTCCTCATTCCTCCAAAGGGTCGATTCTCGACTCGTAGGAATTTTTGACATTTAGGAATTTTTGACATTTTTCTACACATCGGAAGTTTATGACATTTTTCTACATATAGGAAAGTGTCACAAATTCCTATAGGAAAAGGTTCCTACAAGTCGAGAATTGACCCCCTGGGGCAGGATTAATCACTCTCTAATAGTGCTATTCCTAAAGTGGTGCCAGGAAACTAACAGAACACGAGGCTAATAATCTAAGTAGTTAATGCCAATGACACAGTATGTGAATAAAAGAACTATAAAATACACATTCTAAATTAGTCAGATTTGAAACAGTGATTAATTCAAGAAAATAATCAATTTATATGAATCATATGTTGTTTTTAATTGTGTTGACTGACACAGTACTAACATCTTGCAAAAGATAATTATTCCATTCAATTTGTCACTGATATTAACCACCTATTTTTTTTTTAGCCATCAGAATCAGAAGTATCGTCGCCAAATTTCTTTAAAATCTTTCTTCCCTAAATATTATTTTTCCTTCAGTATTTTTATTCAAAATATTAAAATATAAATAAAAGATTCACTAGTAAATTAATGCAATATTTGAAGCATTACACCCAAAATGTTCTTATTTTTAATCATGCTTTTGTTGGGTCTTTTTTTTATAGTTTTGATGTAAGCTGGAATTTTGTGGTGCAATAAGGAAATAGTAAAAAAAAATTATACTTTTTAAATAAGTTACACAGCTGAACACTGATTGTCGAGTTTCTAGAGATGATTGGCCTTTATATGGATTTTTTTAACACATAAAAACCTATGAACTTTTATCCATGATGATTATGTATTTTATATTGAGTCCTTTTATTCCAATGTATTGTTTTTTATGAACTCTCATGAAACCATTTTCACTTATGATTTTTTTTTTATAATTGATGTATTGTGGATCCCAGCGAGTATGAACTCTCATGAAACCATTGTCACTTGTTTTTTTTTTATAAATGATGTATTTTGGGATAAAAAAGAAATACATTTTCCCCCAATATTGAATTTCTTATGAGAAATTATCTTATCGAATACAAATACATATAACTTGAGCAATAATTTGAACCCTAGAAACTCAGAAACTAAAGTTTTTCAAAATTAAAAAAACTTGTCAACTGTTATTGGCTAGAGGATGACGAATTGTCATAAAATTCATACCCAGAAATCAAACCCTGCATTTTTTTAAATAACATCCTTTGAAATGTGATTTTATGAAGAATTCAACAGTATTACTATTATTTGCAGTGCTTTTGATTTTAGCGCCCTCTAGCGGAATAAAAACTGTTACGTATTGAAAAGGGCGTTACTTCATGTGTAAGCTAATTTTATTAGTGATTTAATAGTGTATGTGTATTTCTTAACTTTAGAAATCTGCACGATTTTTCATTAAGTTCAAGATTCATTATAGGTTTTTGGGAAAAACATGATTTTCCAATTGCTCAAAAAGTAATCGTTTTTTAGTTTGTTTTGTTAGAAAATACTATTGGAGACGTCATTAATAATACATCTTTTGTAATTGAATTGGTCATTTGAGAAACACCATGAGTTAGAAAAGTAAAAGTTAAAAACTTTCTTAAATAGTCTGTGTGTGAGACAAAGCATTGATTTTTTTTTTTTCTAAAATTGAGAGATTGGTTTACTATTTGTTAGTATCAAAACAACTTGTGCTTTTTAAAGAGTCCAAAATATTTTTTTTGAAAATCATGACTTATAGTGTTTCTCAAATATTCAGATATTTTAATTTATTTAGACAATAAAACTACATATTTTAACGAAATAATGTTTATTTAACAATATTTTTATTTAATTTAAAATTTCATCTAAAACCTTATCTTTATCAACAGTCAGCCAGTTATCTTTATAAAATTCAAGTACGGCTTCTTATTCCAGAAGATACTGCTTTAGTTTGACAAGATCATTCATCTGTTAATTTTTCCAACATAAGCCTTTTTGAGAGGAAGAGTGAAAGATTGTTTCGATGTATTTCGAAATGTATCACAAGTCAGTCTATAAAACATTTTGTCACAAGAACTCCTTCATTTTCAAAAAAATATTTAGTGATATATTTTTATCTTGTGGTACTGCTTGTTGAAATATTCAATATTGCGCTAAGCTTTCATTCTCAATTCTTTATTATTCCTGGAGACGTCTCTGCAAGCACTGCCCTTGCCGATAAGAACGGTCTTCCGTCTAATAGCTACATCACTGGCGTCATTCTCTTCTTGTCCACTTCTCATTGGTCATCCATACCCGGCAATCGCCCTCATTGGTTAAAAACACCGGCGTTAGGCACTTCCTAATTGGTCAACGTCGAGCGTCATTCTCAATCTAACTAAACAACTTCTCTCCCGGCAGAGCTTCAGTACCTCTCAAACACAACACATCATTCTGTGGTGTACAAGATGGCTTGAGTGCTTAAGTAACAAATTTTCGAAGAAAAGTCTGTATATAGTGTCATAAGTATGTAGTTTGTAAATGAACCATGTAATAAAATTAACATAGTTTCAATAGTGTTTTAAAATAAAGTATGTAGGTAATTAGAAAGTAATGTTTTCACCCAAGCATTAATCCTTCCATCCCTACGGATCGCACAGGTATTTCCAACATAATTGGTCACCAGTGGTCAGCGACTTATGGGGTTTCTCAAGTAAAGCAGATTTTGACGTTTGAAAATTTAATACAAGTGCTACGACTAATGGGATGTCTTGTTGGAATGTGCACCGACGTGTTAGCAATAAGAATCTGCAATTTTTGGAATATGTCAAATGAGTGACTTATGGGCTTTCTCAAATGACCGATTCAATTATAATTTTGAAAAATTATTGTTTTGCTTAAAACTATATTAACCAAAAGTCAATTTAGTCAGTTTTTGTAAAAACTTTGTTAACAAACAGCAATAAAACATTATTTTAAACAGAAATATTTCTTACAAACTGCTTTTAAACTGTAGCGAACGCCACTAATTCTTTACACTTCTTCTCAATTCTCTGGCAACAGATAACCAAATTCTACAAAAACTCAGGAGATTCTCTTACAAAATGAAAAATTTATCTGTCACTACTAAACCGTCAACTGTCAACGGCGGTCCGTGTTTGGCATTTCAAGACCAGTGTTGGTCAAGATGCTTGAATTAGGCATTCCAACGACCTGTCCAAATGGCTACCAGTGGGTACTGACAGTTTAGATATGGCAACCCTGTTTTCATGTTGTCATTAAATGAGGCTGAAGCTAGCAGACAAACCGCGCGGCGGTCCCCAAATGTTTTGATGTTGTTATTCGGCAAAATCTTTGGTTCAGGTGGACTTTAGTATCATGAAAGTTTAGAAATAAATAAATATTAGGGTATTTATTGAAAAAATGGATTAATTCATTTTGAATTATTAATTAAAATAAAATAATCTTACACAAAGACGGGGAAGAAACAAACACATTTACAATGCGATTATAAATATAATTTTTATACCAAATATTCATTAATTTTTGTTAATTGAATAAACAAAAAATTATGGCCAAACAATGATTTAAAATATATTTTTTTGGTCTTTTTAAAGTCAGGTGTTTTGTCGTCAAACGACTATAAGAATTAAGAGTCCAAAAAAACACATTTAGCACGAGATTACAAATACAATTTTCATACCAATAATTTAGTACACCACTAGCTATAAAATAAATAAAAAATCATTAAATAGCAAGACCTCTAATTACATTTTTTTAGATCTTTAAAAATGCGTGGTTTCGCGGAAAAACAGTATTCTACCAAAATATCAAAAATTCTAGATAGTATTTTTAATACGAATGATTCAATAGATTAGTATAATAATAATAATAATAATAAAACACAATAAATCATTACATAGCAAGACCTCCAAATATGTTTTTTAGGTCTTTAAAATGGCGCCATTTCGCGGATAAACCTTACTTTATCAAAATGACAAAAACCAATATTTAGCACGAAAATTCAGATAAAATTTTTAGTATGAATGACTCCATACATTAGCATATTTCAAAAAAATAATAAATCATTACATAGCAAGACCTGTAAATACGTTTTTTAGGTCCTTTGAAAAGCGCGGTTCCGCGGAATAACCTTACTTTATCAAAATGACAAAATCCACTATTTAGCACGAAAATCCAGGTATACTTTTTAGTATGAATGATTCAATACATTATTATAATTCAAAAAAATAATAAATCATTACATAGCAAGACCTCCAAATGTTTTTTAGGTGTTTAAAATGGCGCGATTCCGCGGATAAACATTACTTTATCAAAATGACAAAAACCAATATTTAGCACGAAAATCCAGGTATAATTTTTAGTATGAATGATTCAATACATTATTATAATTCAAAAAAATAATAAATCATTACATAGCAAGACCTCCAAATACGTTTTTTAGGTCTTTAAAATGACGCGATTCCGCGAATAAACATTACTTTATCAAAATGACAAAAACCAATATTTAGCATAAAAATCCAGGTATAATTTTTAGTATGAATGATTCAATACATTATAATAATTCAAAAAAATAATAAATCATTACATAGGAAGACCTCCAAATGTTTTTTAGGTCTTTAAAATCGCGCGATTTCGCGGATAAACCTTACTTTATCAAAATGACAAAAACCAATATTTAGCACGAAAATTCAGATAAAATTTTTAGTATGAATGACTCCATACATTAGTATAATTCAAAAAAAATAATAAACCATTACATAGCAAGACCTGTAAATACGTTTTTTAGGTCTTTTGAAAAGCGCGGTTCCGCGGAATAACCTTACTTTATCAAAATGACAAAAACCAATATTTAGCACGAAAATCCAGGTATAATTTTTAGCATGAATGATTCAATACATTATTATAATACAAAAAAAAATAATAAATCATTAAATAGCAAGACCTCCAAATATGTTTTTTAGGTGTTTAAAACGGCGCGATTCCGCGGATAAACATTACTTTATCAAAATGACAAAAACCAATCTTTAGCACGAAAATCCAGGTATAATTTTTAGTATGAATGATTCAATACACTATTATAATTCAAAAAAATAATAAATCATTACATAGCAAGACCTCCAAATACGTTTTTTAGGTCTTTAAAATGGCGCGATTCCGCGGATATACATAACTTTATCAAAATAATAAAAACTAATATTTAGCACGAAAATCCAGGTACAATTTTTAGTATGAATGATTCAATACTTTATCATAATTCAAAAAAATAATAAATCATTACATAGCAAGACCTCCAAATACGTTTTTTAGGTCTTTAAAATGGCGCGATTCCGCGGATAAACATTACTTTATCAAAATGACAAAAACCAATATTTAGCACGAAAATCCAGGTAAAATTTTTAGTATGAATGATTCAATACATTATTATAATTCAAAAAAAGAATAAATCATTACATAGCAAGACCTCCAAATACGTTTTTTAGGTCTTTAAAATGGCGCGATTCCGCGGATATACATAACTTTATCAAAATAATAAAAACTAATATTTAGCACGAAAATCCAGGTACAATTTTTAGTATGAATGATTCAATACTTTATCATAATTCAAAAAAATAATAAATCATTACATAGCAAGACCTCCAAATACGTTTTTTAGGTCTTTAAAATGGCGCGATTCCGCGGATAAACATTACTTTATCAAAATGACAAAAACCAATATTTATCACGAAAATCCAGGTATGAAACGTATTTGGAGGTCTTGCTATGTAATGATTTATTATATTTTTGGATTATACTAATGTATTGAATCATTCATACTAAAAATTTTATCTGAATTTTCGTGCTAATAACTAATAATTCAAATTGAATTAATCCATTTTTTTTTCAATAAATACACTAATATTTATTTATTTCTAAACTTTCATGATACTAAAGTCCACCTAAACCAAAGATTTTGCGGAATAACAACATCAAAACATTTGGGGACCGCCGCGCAGTTTGTCTGCTAGCTTCAGCCTCATTGTCATTAACAGGGTCAATGATACATATATGTTATATACAGTGCTCAAAGCTGGTCGTTTGCGAGCAGCCATATTGCCTGGAAAATATTTATTAATTTGAATCAGTTTAGCAAAAATGTGTTTTAAAACCAATTTTCAGACTTTAGATATTTAAAAAATAATAATTGCTTATATTTTTACTTCAAGGCATAAGCTTATGTTTATTTTAAAAAATAGGGATGATCAATCTATGTAACTATCTATTTCACTCACCTTGTCAAATCACCAAGCCAACAGAGTTGCCATAACTTTGCCACATCATAACCTGTCAAAACCCACTGGTAGTCATTCAGTTTGGAATGCCTAATTGCTGAAATATTATTCTAGAGAATTTTAGTATTTGAAAAATTGATATTATTGGCAAAATTTTATTTTCTGCCAAATTATCTGACCTTTCTCAAATTCTCCAGGAAGTGGATTATTTTTGATTAATCGATTATTTTCAATTAAAGGAGTATTTTCTATTAATCCTTTATTTTAGAATAATCGTTTATTTTTTTTTGTAATCGCCCAGCCGTAGGCTCCAGTAAGTTGGATTTCGGGTATGAATTTAATATGACAATTATTCATTCCATCCTCAAAAAAAGTTGATGTTTAAAACTCCTATGTTTCAAAGTTTCTAGGGGAGGGGGGCCAAGTTATCTTTGGGACCAATCTTATCAACCATTATATGCTTAAAATTATTAATTTTGTAAAAAGTTCAAAAAAATGTAAATTATGAAATTATCAAAATCTTTGAAACTTTGAAATTCTGATAAAATATAACTTACTAAAAAGTAATTCTAGAACAAAGATAACCTTTGAAACATCAAGGTTAAGAAATACATAACAAAATTGGAAATATATATTTAGATAGATCCTTTCAAATTACAGATTACAGTCTTTACTGGATCATATTAATTCAGAATTGTGGTTTACATTATACGAATAAAATGTCCTTGATAACTATACCTATATGAATTAGGCACAATTCATAGAATATTATATTTGTCTCTCATTGAATAACACTTAACCTTTGTGCTAATATTCTGGGTTAGTGTAGTCAATATTTGTTAACGTTTTATTTGTTTTACAAAAATGATAAAGATAAGATTTTAATCTAATGGAGGGCATAGTGTTCTTAAGTAACAAATATAAGAATTTTTGAACTGAAGTCCATCAACTAAAGTAATAAAAGAACATCTTTCCAAATAGGCCACATAAATGTGGTTGGGGTTGTAAACAATGCAAAAATATTAAGATGTCTCTAGACTCAATAATCATTTTGTATAGGTATCTACAATCTGTAATGGCCATAAATTATATAAATTAGTCTGCTAGCATTGTATAAAATGTATATTTTTAGAATGTGACATTTTAAACCTTAACAATTAACAACCCCCTTTGATTCTGGTAAAAGCATTACACTCAACAATGGAAGATGGAAGCAAGTGATTGCACATAGCACAATGTTTTACCTAGTAGCAGAATATTTTACAGCACTATTCAAAAAGGCGCCTTGATTTTTTCCTAATACAAATTATTTTGAATTGAATTGTTGATTTTGTTTCCAAAACTCATCAATACAAAGCGAAATGATTATCCATAATGACCTTGCTTGGGTACATAAATAGAAATTTATTCTGTGTACAAACCTTTTTTGGAATCAGTAGTTGAGCCTTTTGCCAGTGGCAAATTGCGATTTCCTTTTTTGTCCATCCCCACGTCCTCCAGTATTACTTAGTTTTGATTTATTGGAGTTTGAAGCTCCTCCACAAGGAGTGGCTACGCACAATTTGAAGACAGACATTTTAAAAAGCCATGTTTATAAAATCACAAACAAGAAAGAACCGTAAAATAACAGTAATTTCTCAAATTTTAATGACAAGAATTATTGTTGGAAAATATAGGCCAAAATACTTGGGAGCAGGAGACTCCCCTCGTCGAAAACGACGATTTTTTTGTCGCAAAACACTCTCACGATCTCGCCGCAATGATGGCGACGGGAAATGATGAATTTTTATTTTTTTTTGCTTTTGACTTTTGAAGGAACTTGAAACTTGACAAAAATACGCAATCGCAAACTTTAGCGACGTTGCCATGTTGATTATTTAGTGGTTTTTTTCTCAAATAAATAAATAAATAAATATCCGACGTATTTTTTACATTACATTACATTTACTTATATAGGATAAATTACTTCCATTTACCATGAATTTTAAAAAACAACAGGCTCTAAATCACATCTTGATCATCTTTCAATATAGAAATTGGGCATAGGCGTAGAATAATCACCTAAGCAAGTTGTTTCCGTTTGATTAGTTTTTTGTTTGAGACTAATTAGTTTCCTGTTTTTCGTTTAATACAGGACTGCTTATTATTATATTTAAATCTTACTAGAAACATTTATTTAAAGATATTTTAAAAGTTTTATAGAGCCGGTATGCCGGGAAAAATCAGTCTAATTTAAAAAAAAGAAATAATAAATAAATTTAATGTGCATACCTACAACTACAATTTTTTGTTCGCCGCATTTCGCATTTTACGCAAAACGGTTATGAAAGAGACACCAGAACACCTGAAACTTGAAAAAATGATATTAACTGATTAGTTTGTACATATATACATTATGTCCCAAAAATTTATATTGTGTCAAAAAAAATTATACTATATAATGAGAAAAAGTTTACTTTATACATTTAACAAAAGTATCAGGACCGTAGCCTGAATCGATTTTTAGGTAGGGCAACTGAAATTTGAAATAGGGCACAACGTTATAGCTGAGTCGAGGACAACGTTATAGAGACGTTGGTGAAGAGAGGGTCGAAAGTAGTTTGACCCAGAAATTATTTGCAAAATAAATATGCATGTTAGGGTATAACATTTTTTAAGTAAGTGGTTTAACAGAGGTGTTTAAATACCTTATACAAATTCAAAATCTACAAAAATAAATGAAACACCTGACCTCTGCCAATCTCTCGTGAGCCAATGCCATTCTTTGAATCTTGTTTAACACTTTTAACCAAAAGGTAGATTCTCATGAAGTAGTCCTGCAGCCGAATGTTGCCACCGATGCAGATATCATATGTTTTCCTTTTTGTCAATAAATAATTTTCCAATTTGAGCTAGATCATTGGGAATTTCATAACTTGTAAAGGCCTAACTGCTATATCTTCTGTATCTAACTGTGTTGTGGAATCAGTTTGTTCTTGTTCAACTTCCTTATGAAGTTGCAGCTTTCTTTCGAAAATATAGCTCTCATATTCATACTAATATACTACATACCTTAATTTCGATGTGTGTAATGATGAACCTGTCTCGTCCATAGTTAGAAATCTGCGCAAAACTATCTTAAATAGCAATACGAATGAGTTTTTACTCCGATGTGACCAATCGCGGCACCCATCTTATGGAAAGCATTTTCATGTCCAAAATATTGCATAATATAAATATGTTATTCTCACAATGTCAATGTTAACAGATGTTAATCTCACAAATATCTTTATTTACGTATTACCTAGTTGTCAGTTACACAATTCATAACAAATAGAAGATTAAAAAGCAAGAAAATATAGGAAAGCACGCAAAGAGGATGGATATATGAATGTGCATAGATACGAGAAAAGAAATAAAAAAGAGATGATGCGTGATGTGTAATAACGACTGGGATTTTAAGGTAGGGCATTGCCCCTATGTATCCCCCTCTGACTACGGCCCTGACAAGAAGTATTCATGATAAAAAGATTTGCATCAAATTTGTAAAATTAAATAAAATCCAATTCACTTTAACATTTGACCAATTATTTATTAAATACAAAGTAAATCGAAATCACTTAATGTTGACCATATTTTTATTTCTATCAACTTTTTCAATCACTATTTTATTTTATATTGAAATTTAAAAGTACTTTACTCAATAAATAATTATTTTTTATTTTCCTATATACCGCCTAATATTTTATAAATTTTATACTTGATTATGGATTTCCAAGTGCTTGCAGGACATTTTATCAAGTTTAATTTGTGAAATGTGACATACATTTTTTTCTATCTACAGGTTGTCCCATTAGTGTGTGGAAATCCAATCTCAGTTGTTTTTAAAAATACGAGAAAATGTTGCATACAAAAGTTCTACGGTTCACATAGACGCCTATTGTGCAAACATTTTCCATTATACAGGGTTCCCTCAAAAAGGCAATATAAAAATTGTTTTTTTTTTTAAATTGAACATCATGTATTTTATTTTATATAAAAAACTAAGATATGTAAACCTTTTTATCTCAATTTCAACCGTGTGGGTACTATATAGCTTGTCAAAGTGTAAAAATGTAAATTTTTGAATGTCAACAGCTGAATTGAATTTAGACATATGGTGTTTTTGACAAAAATACTTTTTTTAAAGAGAATTCAAAAATAAAATACAGGGTGTTCTATTTGAAAAAATAGATTTTATGTTACCTTGTTTTTTGGAGTCAACCTGTATACTGGAAAATATTTTTACAGTAGGCGCCTTTGTGAACTGTAAAACTTTTGTATTTGACATTTTCTCGCATTTCCAAAAACAACCGAGATATTGTACTTCCACACACTAAATGGGCCACCCTGTATACAAAAATTTGGGACACCCTGTATATAGAGGCAATTTTATCATAACAACCCACACTTTAAGCTGAAATAATTTTTATTTTCAAACATAATCCTCCTATGCCAGAACTTTATTGGGACACACAATTCAATATACTTATTTTTACATATATATGTAAAAATAAGTATATTGAATTTTATAAATATTTTATAATAAAAAGTTTTACTACTAGTTTATCGAGATCTGTGTTTATCGATTTTTAACCGACTTCAAAAAAGGAGGAGGTTCTCAATTTGTCGGTATATTTTTTTTATGGATATTCAGCAATAATTCTTTAATACTGAACGGGTGGCATTCGCCTTTCCTAGCACACTTGGGGTTTAGCAACTGTAGCACAGGTAGAGTTAGGTATTGCTTTGTGAAAAAACGAAGGACCAGGATTTCTTCCAAACATATATTTACAAACGTAAACAAATCAACAGATCTTAAAAGTTTAACTAAATTGTTTAAAAATGCAGTGGAATGCGTGAAATTACTTTAAATTCGACGTGATGTTTCAATGACTTTTTTGTGACATCTTTACCCTGCTATGTTCTTTTATATATATATAAAGAAAGTGTAACCTAGTAAACAGTAAGGAGTCTATGAGGGAATAAAATAAATAACAACGAAAACTAAGTATTTGGGACCAAACAAATACGAAACGTTTCTTTTTTTATTAGTAAGGGGGGTACCTCAGGGGTGGTCCCATATAATAATAATAAATATAATAATAATGAGTTTATTCAATACCAAAAAAATATTTACATGTAAAATTACAATATTTGGTTAAGATGTGGTGATGTTATTTGCACTATTTTAAAGTCGATTTTTTAAAATTACTTTTACTACTTGTCTTACATAAATATTCTTTTAAAGGGATGATAAAAGTAAAAAAGAAAAAGAAAATTTCTTTGAATTCGGCTTATTCTTTTAGTTTAAATATATTTGTCTAATTTTGACATATAAAGTGATATTTTTTGTAATCGCAGCAAGTATCAAAATGATCTACTTATGCAACCAGTTGCATAATGTTGAACATTATGAAAGTGGTTACGAAAAATTAATTATGTCACCATTTGCGAAAAAAACACAAATAAAATAATCCTTTTTTAGTTTTAAAAACAAAATATTCATTAATTATTATTAAAAGTTTATGTCAATGAAGGGAAAGTTGACTATATAAAAATAGAATTTGGTTAAACTTACAACCTGGTAATAATGTTGTTTTTGTTCTTATTTTCCATTCTAAATCAGCACAAAATAATTAAAACACAATACACGATAAAAAAAAAACATATGATTAGTATGTTAATTGTGTGCAAGGTTCTGCCATGACGTCACAAATCAACATTTGGCAATAGCGCATAACTTTTAATGACAAGTGACATCAATGACAATGACAATTGACAACTTTTTTTTCTCAAAGTGTCAAAAATTGAAAAATTTAGAAAAATAAAAGAAAACCACGAAAACTAAACGCTGTCAATTTAGTTTATTTAAACAATAATGTGATTCATTGATACATTTTTATTAAAAATCAAGATATGGATGGATTACAGAAACTTATTTATTTAATATTATTAGTGTTCAATGTTGAATGTAGTGATATTACAAAATTGGCTTTAGGAGACTTTACTGATGCATTACCTGCCGCCTTTGGCGATTTTAATTCCGATGAATTAACTGATGTATTTGTACTGAACGATAATGGTTATGCAGTTGAAATACTTCTTGCAAATGAGGAAGAACCCCTTCTTAGACCAGCTCCACAATTAAGCTGTTCTTTTAGGGAACAAGAACGCACAATTACAAGTGTTGTACCAGGTGATTTTGATGGAGATGCTTTAATGGATTTACTTGTTACAACTGTTTACAAGCCTACTGGTCAAAGAGATCATACTAAAGATCGCAGTATAACTTACATTTATGTTATTTGGGGAGGAGCTTCGTATGTAAACTGTTCAAATGACCATTTGATTGAAATGGTAGGACAGCCTTTGGCAATTGATTATAACCAAGATATGATAATTGATCTGTTTGGTGAAGATATTGATAAAAAACGAGCATTTTGGGTATTTAATAAAGATAGAAGTGAGCCTAAAAAAATAGAAATGCCACATCATAATAAAAAACCAATGACAGAATTGAAAAAACCACATGCACATGCATTTTTAGGTAAGAATTATTTTAATTTTTTAGTATTACAAAGTATTAATACTTTTCTTCAACAATACTGGTTGGTATCTCACATAACTAAATTGGCTAAAAGTAACATTAATAACTTCAAAAGTAACCTCAAAACAATGCCACTGATATTCTTACTGTTTAATTGGAAATATTTTGCAGATTTAAATGAAGATTGTATGGCTGATTTATTTATTACTACTAATGAAAATTTTGAAATCTGGTATGGAAAGGAAGAAATGGACCCATTACTACCACGTTTTATATACAATTCAACAATTCCACATCCTGAAAATCCACAAAAAGAAATAGCTACAGTAGTAGGTCAGTCCCTTTTTATTGATGTTGAATTAAAAGGTAAAATGGACTTAGTAACTCCAGTCTGCTATGATAAAGAGTGCAAAAGCAGTGCACTAATGCTATATTCAATGTCAGAAAGAAAGTGGATAAATTTACAGGTAAGCTAAATTTTTATAATTCAAAAATAAAGAAGCCAAAATAATTATAATTTTATTGCACATGGCTTTGAGATTTTCTTGTTTTTTGTTATTTTATATCTTTGTCACATTTGAGTTTGATATTATTTTCCATTTTATAATTTAGTTTCCAAAATCATTTATTTTTTAAATTAGAATACAATTTTAAATTTCATCTCAATAAGTATATAATATGCTTATTTGGCTCATCCAAATTTCTCAGCAGTAAAAAAAACTAAATAGATCAAGTAAAAAAGTTAATAACTAAAATAAAAACCATTTAAGAATACTAGATATTCTTGTAAGAGCATTTAGTTTTCAAAAATATCTCTTACACTTAAACTAAATGGAAGAATTTCAATATTACACTTATGCACCATGTAGGAATGTTTTATTAAAAAAGATATTACTAGAACATTTAAAATGCAGGTGAATAATCAGATTTTCAATATAAATCCTATTAATATTTTCTAGTAATATTATTTAGAAGATTGATAAAATGACCAAGGCAGATATTATTTTAAAAATTAAAATTTCTCATACAATTAAAGGAAATATTTGTAACTTTACAGGACTTTCCCGATGTTTTTAAGTATTAAAAGTAACCAACAGAATATAAACGATCATAGCTAATAAGTAGTACCTATATAAGTTGTTAATCTTTAATGACATATTGAAAAGAAAACAAATCTAACTTTAAGGCTTTCATAGTACAGTACTTGTAGTAACTTTTTTAATATTTCCTTTTATTTTTGTCAATTTAAATTCAAAAATTCATCATATTTCTTGGACTACTGTAAAATTATCTTTAAAGGTTCTGTCCCTAATCATAGTCAACAATTAGGCACAGAATTGTTTTTTTTTACATTCTAAAACGACAAAGTTATTAAATTTTTATCATAAAAGTGAGAAAATAGTATAACATAAGGCCATTGAATTTTTTAGAGGTAAATTAAGAAATTGTTTGCAACATAATTTTCTTATGTTTTATTTCACAATTTATTTCTATAAAAAAAATCGTTTTTGGTAGGCAGATTTTAAGGACGAACTTACAAATTTATGGAAGTTTTACCAGAAAGATGGTAGTAGATATACTGATGTCATCACACTAAGAAGTGGAGACTTCAACTTAGATGGTTACCCTGATCTTTTAGCAACTTTGTCTCCAATTCAAGATGGTAACAGTCTACCACAGTCATTTCTATTGGAAAATGTACATTGTGATACATGTGGTGCTTTAAAGCGTACATATAAAGTAAAATGGAATTCTTTAAATCCATTCAAAAATGGAACAGTCATGGCTTCATTTTTTGACTTTTACCAAGATGGTATTTTGGACTGTATTATTGTAACTTATAATGGGCACAGTTACAAAACAGCTGCATTTAAGAATAGCTTGGATTACGATGCAAATTTTATCAAAGTTATGGTTTTGACAGGTTTGACCAATAAAAATGATCCTATGATAATGGGCAGAGTTGGAAAGAAGCGAAGAACTTATGGAACTAATTTGCCAGGTAAAACACTATAAATGTTCTAAAAATGTAGTTAATAATCAGTTTACTGTTTTTGATTCTACTGCATGCCTTGCACTGAGTGCACACAAAATGAGGTTTGTTTGTTTGATTCTGTTGGAGCCAGAGCAGTTCGTTTCCAATTTTATATTTGATTCTAGGTGCAATTCGTTCGCAGGTCGCTCTCAGTGCAAATATTGCTCCATAAAAAAAAGTAGAGCAAGTATATTATTATTATATTATATATATTGTGTTAGGTTGTTTTGTTTCCAATTTTATATTTGATTCTAGGTGCAATTCGCTCGCAGGTCGGTTTCAGCTCAAATAATATTGCTCCATAAAAAAAAGTAGTGCAAGTACATTATTATTATATTATATATATTAGGTGTTAGGTTGTTTTGTGACATTGTGACTCAGTGTAGGTCTTAGTTCTGACATGCCGTTTCAATTGCTGGTTGATTGTCCCTGTTTTTTTTATAAGTGTTCATTAACTACTGATGAGTACCTAATTGATAAAATTTCAAACAATGAAATGAAATACATTCTTAAACTCTTGTAAGGGGGTTTCTCGCCACAGAGAAAACGATTCCTTACGAATGACGCTGGTTACGGGCGGTTCTCGAGCGCCAGACTTTTGGTGATGGTTTACTCCACGAACTTTCGAAACGGCGTCGAAAGTACTCGGGTAGCTACAGATGGAGATGAAAAATTCCAGGGGTCAAGGTCACTTAGACACAGGTAATAGTGTGCCACAAGTAACGGGCTTTAATCGTTGCTTGGGCTGGTACAGAATTAATCACTAGCTGAAATATAAGGGGGAAATAAATTTAGGAATTAACAACCAGTAATACGGCAGGTTAACATTGACACATATATTGTGGTTAACTATTTACAATAAAAAAAAAAAGAAATTAAATATTTCAACGCCCACCCTCACGGTAATATGTACAAACCCTGAACAAAAATAAACTAACAAAACGGACGGAAATGACTTTCGAGTAGTCTCAATCAGACGTAAAGAAAAAAATTGAAATCAATACTTATAATTATCACGGTCGCAGTAAAAGTTTATTATTGAATTGTCTATTCTGTTGTTGAATTAAAAATGCAATTTGCTATTTCATTCGGAAGTATTATTTCGGTCGTAGCAAAAATTAACTGTTAAATTGTCTAATCGGTATTTACAATCAAATGTAATTGAATGCTTCAGTAAAGCAAAATATCATATTGGTTGCAGAGAATGCGAGAAGACAGGTTCGGGATAATACTAATTCCAGGGCTGAAACCGGGACCCTATAAGAGGTTTACTCACTAGTGGTTGGAAAGTAAAACCAACTAACAACCGGGATAGTACATTATCCTTAAGTGAACCGATCGTAATCACGAGCCGCTTCAAACTGGGGAATGATACTATTTAATGTCAATTAAATAACGGAGTTTTACATAAAATAATTTTAATAACCGGGATAGCACACTATCTCTGAATGAGGCGATCGTAATCACGAGCCGCTTCAGACAGGGGAATTATACTATTTTAGTTAGTTCACTTACAATAACGGAGACTAACGCAAATGAGGGGTTCAGACGGAAAATAAACTAATAACCGGGATAGCACATTATCTCTGAATGAGACGATCGTAATCACGAGCCGCTTCAGACAGGGGAATGATACTATTTTAGTTCTCTTGAAATAACGGAGACTTAACGCAAATGAATTTTTAGATATAGAATGAACTAATAGCCGGGATAACACCTATCTCTGGATGAAGCGATCGTAATCACGAGCCGCTACAAACTGGGAATGATGCTATTTAAATTATCTTAAAATTTGCAGTTCGGAGAATAAAACAAAAGAAAATGCCTCGTCGCAATTCTACAAATATAACCAATCAAAACATTAAACAATTCCCAAAAAGTTCCAATCAATTATTTATTGGATAACGTTTTTAATAAACTGTATTAATTGTTCACGGAAATTTTTTGCAGTAGGAAAAATTGACTATAAGACTATATTTACGATTAACTGAAAAATAAATTAATTAACGGTTAAGCCTTCAAATAAACTAAAATGAAATTTATTATTTATTTACGGAAATTTCCAGTAGTAAGAAAAATTAACTATACGACTATATCTACGATCGAATGAAAAATAAATTGTTTAACGGTCAAAACTTTAAATAAACTAAAATGAAATTTATTATTTATTCACGGAAATTTCCAATAGTAGGAAAAATTAACTATACGACTATATCTACGATTAAATAAAAAAATAAATAAATTGTTTAACGGTTAAGACTTTAAATAAACAAATGAAATTTATATAGAACGGTGTATTCTAACAAGAATAAATTAAAGTATTTCGCAATCAAAACAAATTAAATCCTAACTCAACACGGAATAAATCAAATTAAATCGGTTTCAAATAGCACGGCTTAAAGACTCGGGCAAGAAAGAAATTATATAAAAAAAACTGTCAACAAATTTTACCTCGCGGCGTGGAATAAATTTCGGAATCGTATTTAGCGTTTAATCGACTATTGGATTTGACGGTGTAAAAGCAAGTCTGTTCAATAAATCGGTGTATTAGGAACTAAAATATTTAATTTCAATCTCGGACCACGTTTAGTCGTCGCATGCCCTACCACATCAGAAAATCCCACCATTAAAATGCGCGCGCAAAGTACCTCGACGATGGTTTGAACAGCGATTAAAACTGATATACAGGGTATATCCACGAAGTTAAAATTAAGTAAAAATCGAAATTAATACCCGGAATTAGTTAAAAAAAAATAATAATGAAAATTGACTTCATTACACTCTTAAAAATCTTAAACAAAGCAACAAAATAATTTAGCTTCCAGCTCCAAAACAAGTCTAAACCAAAAAAAATAACTCAAAACTCAATCCATACATATTTGATAAAAATAATAAATAAGTAATTCACTAGTTGTTTTTCTAAACTCGCGTTCGGTTACTAAACGTGTTGTTTCTACACTGCAATGAGAACGAACGGGAGTGAACGTGGAGCGAATCTTAACGTCATTTCAGTGCAACTGGCTCCGTGCAAGAGCAATAGAATCGAAAACGCTATTGGTAATATAAAATTATGTATTAGGGTGGTGCGAACAATTTCAAATTCATATTTTCAATTCGATATACCGTGGAAAAGTTGCCTTATGTGTATATTAGCATAACAAAAAAAAATCGTATTCGGACAATATCTTTCGATCGCGCAAAACGTCGAAAGTTTTTCAAAAATTATTAATTTGACAGTTTTTTCGTTTTTGTTTGACGGTTTGCATTTTTTTAGCACCATAGTACTAAAGCGTTAGTACTAGCATTAAATAGCTTGCAAAAAAAGTATCACTGTTTTTAAAGCATATTTTCTGATCCTGCAAAACGTCTTTTTGCGTAATTCTGCCCAATCAGTCCACTAAATAAACTTGGGCCAGTTGTTACCCCACCTAAATATTGAAACCGCTGGAAGGTAACTCAATAAAATGTAGTAAGCAAACAGTTCCCCATTGCAATGGTTGTCCAGTAGCATCCGGTATTGAATTAGTACCATCACAACCAACGGCATCAAGGTGTTCGAGGAAAATTTCTTCTTCAATAAAATACAATACAATGATTAATGTAATGCCCTTGATTCAATTTTTTCGATAATTATTAAAGGTTCATTTTCTATTATCAAAATAAATAGATCGTACGTTATTTGAATCCGGCTTACTTTTTGCCTCTAAATTAATTATATTTTGACTCTTTTCCCTTCTTATTTTATACCAATCGACTACTTTGGAAGTTTCCGTTACCAACCCAATATCTTCTAGAATAAATGTGGCAGCTGCACAATTAAATACTCCATAGCAATCACAATACAATGTCATAGTTTTAAGCTTAATCCTTATTTGCCCTTACGATTTCTTATTCAAGGAGATGCTAGGCTTGTATTGGTCAATTCATAATCACCATCGAGTCCAGACCTAACAAGAGAAAATGATTGAACCTGATGATTATCATTTAGACAAATTACAGCCTCAGCCAAGTTGTTCATATGATGTAGTACATGTACAAAACGACCGTGATGATTATGACTTTGACCATTACAAGCCTAGTACCTTGTTGAATAAGAAATCGCTATGGCAAATAAGGATTAAGCTTAAAACTACGGCATTGCGTTATGATTGCTATGCAATATAAAATATCTTGCAGCTACTGCGAGTATTCTAAATTTGTTTTGGTAACAGAAACAGATAATATCAAAATAGTCGATAGGTATAAGAAAAAAGGAAATGAATCAAAATAGGAATAATTTACAGTAAAAAGTAAGCAGGATTCAAATAAGGAGCTATTATTTTGATAGAAGAAAAGAGGATACTGAAATTATCGAGAAAAAAAGAATCAAAGCAGTTTCGTCAAACGAAAAAAAAAAGAACCTGTATTTACATGGGGTAACGATCGGCTCAAGGTCATTTAGTAGACTGATTGGACAGAATTACAAAAGAAAAATTGCCATTTTTGCATATATTCAGATCTTTTGCGCGATCGTAAAATATGCTTTAAAATCAGTAATATTTTTTTGCAAGTTATTCAGTACTAGTACTAACGTTTTAGTATTATAGCGCTAAAAAACAAAAAGAAATTAAGAAAAAACTGCCAAATTCGTCATTTTATTAAAACTTTCGGAGTTTTGCGCGATCGGAAGATATTGTCTGATTTTTTTGTTGTTGTGCTAGTATACACCTAAGACAGGCAATTTTTTCGTGGTATAGCGAATCGAAAATAATATTTTGAATTTTTTTTGCACCACACTATTATATGTGGTATGACTGTAACAAATAAAATTCATTTAGTCTGTTATTTTGAATACTTTGTGTATTTTATAATTAATTAAATATTACAGGTCCTTCAATTTCTTACAAAACTACAACACAGGAAGGCAATATACGTCATGGTCTGGCCAGCCAAATACCTCAATCTGCGCATTTCAGTTTAAACCTTCCTTACTCCATATTTGGTTTAGGCCGTACACCAAATTTTGTAGATATGGTCACTGTTGGACTATCAAACCACCATAAATCATTGACACAAATCATACCCAATTCCCAAATGGTTGTGATACCCTGGCCTACAAATGAACCTTCAAAATGGAAAGCACAGGTAAATTATGGTTTAAAGAAAGAAATATTGATCGTTAATATATTCAGGAGAATTAAAACCATAGATGTAACGTAACATCATATTAAAGGTGGGAAAATGGGAACACCATATAAAGGTTCATTTATATTTTATAAAAAGTATTTAATATACAAATCTTGATAACCTATACATGTTTGATATGTCTTTTGAATCAAAGGTGAATTTAAAGAAACGTAATAATATTAATAGTAACGTTCTTTATTGAGTTACTATACCCAACCGACCATCGACCGAAATATTTTTTACAGTATTAGATTATTTTTAATCTTTTGATCAAAAATTGATATTAACACATTATTTGAATAGTTTTTCTGCAAATTTCTAATTTTTAAAGAAAATTTGTGCAACTAAAAGTTGTTTGCAATATCATTATCTATAATATTTGTTCAATACATGATTTCTCTAAAATGAACCGTAAGGAAAAAATTTGAGGAAAAGTGTAAAATTTTTCAGTATTTTTGTTGACAATATTTATAAAAAAAAAGTGTTTCGAGTTAGATGTATTTGGAAAATATATGAATTTAGTTTATTCCTTAAACATTTAGAGGTGTGATACAATACATTGTTCAAAATAACAAAAAAAAAAACATCAAAACTAGACAGGAAAGTTATGTGTTGGACATATCAGATTTTTAGTTTTCTGGGCAACTAAACTTTTATTTTTTGTCTTAAAATTTTGCTTTCCATTTCTTTTTTCACACTCGCATATTCTGCATTTTATACAGTTATATTTAAATAAAAATTACAAGAATTTGTTTGTTAATAAATTTAAAAAGTGATAATTGATAAATTTTGGAAAAGTTTGGTTGTGGTCTCGAAATGTGTTCGTCAGCGGCGCAATGCCTGCCTCCCTTATTAAAGGCCACCAGTTTTAAAGGTCACGAACTGCTATCGTCCGTCATCATGAAGCTCCCCCCCACTTGACTTCAGCCTAGATCCGCCACTGGTCTGAACCATTATAATACATATTTGTTTTCACTTTTTAACCGACTTCAAAAAAGGAGGAGGTTCTCAATTCATCGCAATATGTTTTTTTATGTATGTTCAGCGATAATTCTTTAACACAGTGTCCGATTTCAATGATTCTTTTTTTGTTAGAATGGGGTTACTTCAGGGGTGGTCCCATATAAATTTGGTAAAAATCTAATAATTAGGTCAACGAGAAAATCCTCAAACTCTTCATTTTTTAAGTATGTTTAGCGATAATGCTTTACCACCTTGTCTGATTTATATGATTATTTTTTGTTAGTAAGGGGGTACCTCAGGTGTGGTCCCATATAAATTCGGTTAAGATGTGGTGATGGCATCTGCACGTTTTTGAAGTCGGTTTTTTTATATTTTTAATTTCTAATACTTGTTTTCTTTTTTTTTTTTTTTTTTAGTTATTTGTGACACCTAGTAAGTTGATTCTTATGTCAGTTGCCGCACTTACAACTGTCTGTGGCTTAATCACTGTGATCATTGGAGTGCTACATTGGAAGGAGAGGCAGGAAGATAAGAAAGAGAGATTGTCTGAATCGCATAGATTCCATTTCGATGCAATGTGATGTTTTTAAAGTATTTATTTTAATAAGTTAGATGATAATAATAACATTATCGAAGTTGCATTAAACATGACTGTTTTTGATAAACAGGGCGCAGTTATTCACACTACAGCTTTAAATCGATAAGATAAAATATTTAGAGCTAACAAAATATTAATAAAATATATAATTGACCTTTACATTAATATTTATGAAACTTTTCTTCTGGAGGTCATGAAAAAATAGACTGCAATTTATTTAGGAGAAATGCTAAATGAATACCCTAAATGTTGGCATTGGAACTTACCTTAGTCTTCTTTATATATGTTTGATATTTTCAAGAAAAGTTCTTCTGCAAACATGTCAGTGTTATAGCTGCAAGCTACAGTTATGTTTGTGGTCACTCAAAATTGTATTTTACTCATTACTTTTTATAGTATTCTTAAATACAATACCAGTTTTAGAAAATAATAAAAATATTTGATTCATTTCAAATTGAAACATTGCATTGTTTTAAATTTATTTATTTTATCAAGTGTATATTATTTTGGGAGCGTTTCCATCAACTACCTTCAATATTGGAGTAAAATTGAGTTTTTAAAATAATTTAATTCCTTAAAATAAATAATTTATTGGTAGGTATACATTTATATCATTATTATATATTTGTGATAATGTACACATTCAATTTAATGTAAATAATAATAATTATTGTTGATAGTTTTATTTAAAAAATATTAATTTTAATGAAATGTAATTATTGAGGTGTTATTCCAAATAAATAAAAGATACGTATTAAAATTATTTCGTATATTTACAAACTTACAAAACTAATAAAACATTTAATTTTATAATATATTATTTACGAACACATTTAAGCCTGAAGCTAATATAACCGTCACTGAATTCACAAGAGGTACTAGAACCATCACAGCTTCTCTCTCACTTTTTTCTAATATCCTAAAAAAATGTTTATAATTTAGGTAAATAAAACACTTGAAAATTATTTTTTTCTAATTTCGACATATAAAGTGACATTTTTTGTAATCGCAGCAAGTATCAAAATGATTTACTTTATGTCGCCAGTTGCGAAAAGAAAAGAAAAATAAACCTTTATGTATTGGTTTTAAAAATCAATATATACATTATTATTAAAAGTTTATATCAAAGAGGGGAAGTTTGACTGTATAAAAATAGAATTTGGTTAAACTTACAACCTAGCAATAATGTTGGATCCTTATTTTCTATTTTAAATCAGCACAAAATAATTAAAACAAACAAGAGACAAAATAACCTAAGTTCTTGGAAACTAAAAAACTTTAACAAGCCATATAAACACCACAACAAATAGTTGAGAATAAATTAATATGATTTTCTATTTGTCAATAAAATGAATGCATACGCAACTAACAGTACAAGAAAGTAATACTGGTTGCATAGATGTCAGTAATTTTTTACCAAAACAATTTTATAAATAATGAAAAAAATATTGTATGTAATACGTTATGTAATTCCGTTTGTGTAATTCGTTCATGTTGCGGGACCTCGCTCTACATGTATCGCAAATATTCACTCGTTACATAAAATGAGGCATTTCGTAATTGGTTGCATAAATTTAAAAACAATTGGTATTATGAATTTTAAAAGTAGTGAGATACTTACGTTGGTAGAGCTACTATAGCTAAATTATATAAAATTCCCTCAGAAAAAGCAAATATATATAGTATGCATATAAATTCATTGTCGTGAAATAACACGGGCAAACGATTTCTGGGTAATGCATTGCAAAATATTAACAGTGGCACAAAAATCATTCTCAGTACTGCAGGGACGAAGAGAACAATTCCATGTTTTGGCTGAAAATAAATCGTTGAATTAAAATTGTTTGTCAAATCGTCTTTATAAGTAACCATTGAACGTTTTCACAAGATTATTTTAACGAAGAACATAATTGGCAAATGTGTATCTATCCCTTAAAAATTTTCTTAATTCAATATTAATATACTCGAAAAATACACAAAAAAAAATATTTTAATATCAATTCTACAAAATATTGATTTTCACTATAAATAAATTTATAAAACAAGCAACACTACTCACTCTTTTAATTATTCGAGCGGTTTCTCGACCAATCAAATTGCAAATCTGGAAACCCAAAAAAGTAATGACAGGAACGAAATATATTTCTAGAACAAAAATAACGAAAGCAGTTAATACATTCTTATTATACATCCATTATAATAATATTCTTTGTTTAATGAAAAGCGTGTGAAAACACATCAATGAGTTGGTTTTTTACTTAATCATTTTCTTGAAATTTTAATATGTTATAAAGTAGGTTGATGTTCTCACGTATTATTATTAGCAGATTATTTGATAATTCAATTAATGAATAAATAAATTGTATTTTAATTTTCAGCAAAATTTTTCAAGTCATAAGTAGCTATAATAAAAAAATAGCCTAAAACACACATTTATAACTGTCTCTAAAGCACGTTAAAATAAAGTTTAACACTGTACTATTATTGTTAAAATGCTTAAACTGGTGACATCATTGGACTGAAAATAAACACGAATAAAACAAAATTGATGAAAATAGGAAAATAAAAAGGGTGAGTCTGTATTGTAATATTAAAAATGTGAGAGTCCCTATCCAATAAAGGCGGGAAGGAAGATAAAATTAACGAAACATTAATGATGGCGATCTGCGGTTTTCATGCCAATAAAGCAATCTTTAAAAATGAAATTGTACTAAACTAAAAATTAATAAAACAGTAGTGATGTAAGCATCGAAATTTAAAACAATTAGAAAGAAAGAAGAGAAATTAAAAATTGCTGAGAAAAAGAGAAAAATGTTAGAACCAGTAAAAATGAATGTAAAAACAAATATAAATTATACAGTTTTTATTGATTTTCTCAAAACTTGCTTTTCGTGATTTTTCAAATAAGTGATTCAAATATAGACACAGAAACAACCAAAAAATATTGCAAGTTTTAGGAGAAGACAAAGCTATCATTTAAATGAGATAGGATTGTAAGGTGGGTTGCTCCATAGGACTAAGGCCTCATTAGACTAATTGTACATCTTCCAGGGGCATATAGGACATGGTCTCCCAACTTGTCAAAAACCTGCCTGTTGAAGCTGAGAAGTGCCTAGAGATAGTAATTTTCCCAGCTCATGAAAGTCCTGCAGGTTATCAACTTATCAAAAACCTGCTAGTTGTGGCTGGGGGTCTAGAGATAGCCAGCCTCTCAGGTCAAAATCCTGCAGGTTAATAACGTTGCCGAGAAGTGTGTCCAGATGTCCCATTTTTGGAAGTGGCAATTTGGTGGGATTCTACCACCTAGATGGTAAAATCCCAGGTAGCCATTCTGTACGTCCGCTCCACACGGCATATGAGATAGAAATAATGCAGAAGATATGAGTAGATGGAAAACAATTTGCAAAGAAATATAATAAACTTAGAATGGGGACTGGAAAAAAATTGGATCTAGAAAAGTCTAGAGAACGGCGCTACTTCATGAGAGGTGTTTAGCCGCATACATTCCTTTTCATTACATTAGCCCACTGTTCATTTTTACCTATAATTTTCAAGGAAGAATAAGCATTTCCAATCATAATGACAATTTTTTGTCTAAAATCTTTATTCTGTATGTTGGAAACCCTTATTTTAATATTCTCACTCCTCTGATTATTACTGGTTGAACTAACGTTAAATACATTTTTTTGGTCGAAGTGATCATATATATTTGCTTAATACTTCTGCTTTATAAGATTGGCAGTTATTGAATGTTATGTTAAAGGTATTAATCAATGTTAAAAAATTTGTTCTCATTCTCTTATAACATTTTAAATCTATGCTGAAGTCGAATGGCAACAAAGAAAAACGGTTCTAATAAAAAATAGCGTTAAAATATTTCTTTCATCTTGTACACTAGCTGTTAGAATCCTATATACACCATAGAAATAGTAATATACACATAAAATTTAAATTTTAGTATTATAAGTTAATACGTCTCTAAAGGTCTATTCCAACAACGATCAGAAACTAATCACTGCGCGTTACACAATTTGACGGTCCCAATAATCTACTGTGCAAAATCCTGATATCAGTCTTTTCTGACCGTTGTTAGAACAGACCGTAAATTACCTTTCCAATCATGGTTTCCACTATCTCGGTCAAAAGGTACTACTAGTACTACTAATCCAGGATACACTATATTTGTAGTCCAATCTATAAAAACAAGAGTAGCATAATACCACTTGATCTTCAGTAATAGCTCATATACTGGAGTTCGAGGTGATGGAACTGCCAGATGCACTTTTGCCTGGGTCTGAGACTCATTCTGACCAATCTTGTATATAAAATATTGGGAATTGTTTATGGTATAGCAATAATAAACAGTTGTGGCTATTAAAATGGTAGTTCCACAAGCAAAATATATTGCGGCATGCTGATTTGGAGGCAATCGCGCACTTAAGAGGCATACTTGGAGAAAAGCAGAAAGTATTCCGCATACATTATGTCCCGATTGGATTGAAGCATAGTAGGATGGAGGAAATTTTGATATTAATTCGTAAAGGCTAGCAATTGCCATTCCGGTACAAACTGAAACAAAAATACATTTCATATGTAGAGGCGCAGAACATAAGGCCGATTTTCTTCATAAAACTATTCCGATTGGTTTTTGTTTCTATATTGTCAAGGAGGTTGAAGCTGATTATGAAAGTGTTCAAAGTGAAAATCAATAGTAGCCGAATTGTAGTTAGTCCGTGAAGAATTGCCCTTCGTATTTGGTCCGTCATACTAGATAGTGGTTGCGGGATTTGATGATATGGGGCCTAGTAATAATAATAATAACAAGAATAATACATATAAACTATAATTATTAGTTTATTTGCATCTCAAGTTGTCATAGTCATTAATATGTCTGCAAACTTTGATTATAATAGTATTAAGTTTAAAAAATTTGACCAATGTCTCCTGTTGAAATTACATTCAACATGTCCTACCTGCTAATCTAAATCAGCATTTAACAAACAAAAAAGAATAAAATACTGTGTAATGATATGCCTTTATTTAGTAGGCTTTTGGCGAAGTTTGATTTATCTTTTAAATCGAATAAGATACACTAAAAAATTAACATATTTTATGCCTGATACACTGCTTAAAATGAAACTAGTAGTATATTTAAAATAGAAAACTATAGTCGCTAAGAGAGCAACTTTTTATAGATTATTTTCTCGATTTAATATATTTAAGTAGTTCATATATTTTTAAGCTATTGCATAGCTTTGAGCGCGGCGACCGAATCAAGAATTTCCGTAACGAGCGTAACGAAAAAAAACCTAACACCCCCCACTCCGACCGGCACAGCGGTGCGGCGTTAAACAATATTAACTTCTCATTTATTCAATAAAAGAAAATCGAAAAATCAAAAATAGAAAAATCTAAAATGTAAAAATCGAAAAAGAAATTCCGTAACGAAAATAAATCTAACACACCTCACTCCGACCGGCAAGGCGGTGCGGCGTTGAAAGCCGTGCATCGTCTAACGTCGTTTCAGTTCGGCAGACTTCGGGACGGTGTTTGTGTGCGTGCGACTAGACGTATGCGTGTAGACTAACTGCTCATAACTGATTTTATCTCTTTTAGACACAATTTCGGAAAAATTGAATTTGAAAATGAATAATGATCCACAAGAATCCATAACAAAATATGGGACCACCATTGACGCGGTATTTTCCAGATATTTAGGATATCAAGTCTCAAACTTGTTTCTTATTTCAGTTACCATAAACCTATAGTTTCAATGATAAAAATTCTTGAATAACCTACATTTATTCAATAAAAGAAAAAAAATTGTTTTCTTATCGGTCACCACGCTCAGAAAGTGTAACTTGAATTAATATCAAAAAAAAACTTGAATTAATATCAAAGAAAAAAAAAATACTGCATAAATAAAATAAATAAATAATTATAATTGCATAAGTTGATAAAAAAATGCTATGCAATAGCTTTACCGCGGCAGTCCCCGAGTGCCACACGTATTTTTTCCTACATCAGACTCATACCAAAAAATTAACTTTTCGTCCTTGTAACATAAATTATTATTGCTAGTGAATACATAGTAAAGATAAATCATGGTTACCCAGGGTCAAGAATGCATTATAAAGCAAATAAAAATAATCAACAATATACTTACAATTCATTATAGTGGCGAAAATCATTGCTCCCGCAAAAAACCATTTGATCACTGAAACGTTTAGCCATTAAGTATTGATTTTAATATTGATTAAAAATACAGCTTACTATTTCCAATATTGATTTGTGTTACTACTGTATTTACAGAAAACAATATGCAAAGTGCAAACAAACTCCATTTCAATCTCTTTTCCGGTAATGCTAGTTTATGAGACCAAAATGAACAGATCAACAAGGCTGCGAGTAATGCTACTTTAAATGTAATGTAAAATCCTGCTATAAAATTAGCTTGTATCGCTGTTCTTTCATTAGGTAATGTAGTGTCATTTACATTTGAAACCAACCCATCATAAAAAGGAATTAACCTGAAATATACAATTATTTAAATAATATATTACAAACATAAGAACAATATATGTTATTATTGAATCAGTTCATTGCATTACCAAATTTAAAAATCTTACACAAATCAAAGCCCACCCTGGCAGTAGCAAAATACACACCTGCAACATATTTACTAGTATAATCACGAGCAAAATATAGTCTTCTCACTCGTGGAAAATTTGGAGTAATTTAAATACAAGTGCTAACTCTCTCACACTTACAAATCTATCCTAGTCGCGATGTTCAAAAATGTTACTGCTCTAAAAAATCTCTAAAAACACAACTCCGTGAGTCGTTAATATTAAGTCATCCCAATTGTGCTGATTTTGTTTACGGACCATGTTTAAATGTAGACTAGTAGATGAAGCTATAGAGAATTCAAAACTCATGGGTTAGGCTACTTTTTTCATTAAAATCTAGAGATCATGTTTCAAACAAACTGAAAGAATTGGGGTGATATATGTTTAATAGACCAAATCTTCATATGGCTTCTTTTGTACACCAAGTGCTGAGAAATAACACTCCTAAACAGCTTAGAAAAAAAAATTAACATTCAGCTGAAATGCTCATAACCAAAACAGAACAACTCTCTACAAGAGATCATTCTCGTACAATGCCGTCAGTATATGTACGAGTATATAACTCTCTACCTGAACAATTAAAAGTAAATCTATAGAAAACTTTAAAAAAGTACTAAAAAAATTTCTTCTGTTTTAATATGGATTGTTTGTTTATATGTATTGTTAATTTTCTTATTGTATATTTCTATATATAAAATTTTTATTAATTAATTTAAATCTAAATACATAAAGAATGATATGACTTAAAAAGTAGTTATGATGTGCTGTACTTTTCTACTTATAAAACCAGTTGGGTGAAAATTTCCGTTTTTGAAAACGGTGAAACACTAATTTCTCGGTGCAGTTCTAATATAAATTTTCGTATTTCAATTATTTGTTTTCAAGCAATCTGATTCATAAATAAGTTTACATTTCTGAGTTTGTAAATCAAAAACATTTCACAAAAACTCTAAGCTGATAAGTGATAAGAATTGGTCAATATAAATAAAATCTTTATAGTCCAAAAGATATATGTGAAAAATTAAAATGGTTAATAATTATGCAACCTTTAATGATTTATTAGGCGAAAAGACAATTTCTTGTGAAGTTGTCATGTTACAATGCATCCTAACGAAGAGTGCACTGGCCTGGGTGCTCCGAGCGGCAGTTATCCAAAAAAACTATGGTTTATTTTTGTGCGGATTGCTGTTTGACATTTAAGAGTGTACCTATGCTCGTTAAACAATTAGAAAAACTTAAGTTAGAGGTTAAAACATTAAAGGCAGAAGTTGAAAGATGAAAAGAGCGACAACTTTGTCATCACTGAAGACATTATTAGTGAATGGCATGAACGTGAGAAAAGAGCTAATAATATTTTAATATTTAATTTATCGGAATCTAACACCAATTCAATCGATTCAGAAAGGGTTAATAACTTGATTAAACAAGCTGAGGAGAACCAATTAACGTATAAGTTGCAAAGATCTTTCTATTTTGCAAGAAGATTAAAAATAGAAACCAAACTCCTAAACAGAGGGATGTTCTAGAAAATCTAAGAAGTGAACTTTCCAGGCGTCTAAACAATGGTGAGCAGAATCTCACAATAAAATATTTTAACAATGTTCGTAAGATCGTACAAAAAAAAACTAATAAAGCCCATTGGCTCGGACAAGCTCTCTTTGTACTACCGGAATGTTAGAGTATTGCGCACCAAATTATCTAAACTTTGTCTGAATATCTCAAATTGTTCCTACGATATAATTATTTTTACTGAAAACTGGTTCTTTGATCATATTGCGGATGCAAACCTAGGTCTTTATAACCACAAAATCTACAGACAAGGTCGAACAGTCGAGTCGAGTGCTTCGAGCAGAGGAGGGGGTGTTTTGATTGCAGCAAAAAATGATTTCTAGCAGCCTTATTCTATCTAACTCGGCAATTGAACAATTATTTGTCTCCATTGGAAACAATAAATTTATTTTGGATACAATATATCTACCGCCTACTTCTTGTCCCAATTCATATCACATGCACTATGTTCAAGTTGAAACATTAAAATATCGCACCCAGACTCTAAATTTTTCCTTTTTGGATATTACAATTCTTCCTAATGCTGTATGGAGTATCGACAACTTTTGTTCCACAGCTTCTTCATCTCATTTCTCATTACAAGAGGTTATAAAAACTATTTCAAACCTTTGTGCTTCTCAAAACCTCTTCCAATGAAACAAAATTGTTAACGAAAGGGGAGTTATTTTTGATCTTGTCCTTTCCCAATTTGAACTTGCTGTTTGCAAGGCTATCGATGTTCTGATCCCACCCGCCTCTTAAACCACTCTTCAATACAATACAAATATCGACACTACGTACGATGAAGAATATTTCTACGACTTGCGTAATACCGATTTTACTGCCATTCGTCAGTATTTTGAAAAGCCATCGACTGGGGCACACTCCTTCGTAATAAAGAACTTTTTGATATGATAAATACTGTATTCAGCAATGGAATTATTTTTTCTACTTAAAAAAATATCAATAAAACATGTTCCGAATCTTGGAAAGTTAATTTATGATAAGAAGATTGCTCATATTTTTAAAAGTTATGCCTTATTTAGTAGTCTAAAAGCTCGCTGTAAACTCTTGTCTAAAGAGCGCTATTTAAATTATGTACCCTATTCAAACCTCTGTTAAAAGTAATATTAAGGCCTTCTGGAATTTTGATAACAGCAAAAAAAATAATATTGTTATTCCAGATAAAATTAATTAGGATGGTTTGGAAACTTCATTGGGCCAGAAATAGCTTAGTTATTTGCCGACTATTTTTCTTCAGTCTACACCAATCAGAATATCAATCTGTATGAATGTACATTGAATAGAAACTTAATGAAGTAAGCTAAACTTGATACAAGAAAGGGACCAGGTCCTGATGCGATTCCCCGCTCACTTCTGAAAAACTGCGCTTTATATTGTCACGTCCTCTGCTTTTTATTTTTAACAAATCATTGAATATGGGAGATTTTCCGGATTACTGGAAACTTAGCATAATCTCAAAGCTCTTTGAAATCATTATAACGGACTAAACTTATGACTGCGCTACTATCATCATAACTCCGCAACAATTTGGCTATCTCGAATGCAAGTCAACAGAATTGAACTTTGTTGCATATGATAATTTTATTTCGGAAGTCCTGGAGATGGGATATCAGGTAGATGCCGTATATACAGACTTTTCCAAAGCTTTCGATAGAGTGAATGAATTGTTAGTTCATAAACTAAGTAAATTTGTTTTAGATGGCATATTGTTAAAATGGATTAAAAGCTATCTACTTAATAGAACTCTAATAGTCAAAGTAAAACGTCACTATTCTCATCAATACTCTGTTACTGGAGTTCCCAACGCTTCCATCTGGGACCTCTTCTTTTTAATTTGTTTGTTAATGATGTAACTTCCTGTTTTCGTACAGTAACTTCTTACTTTTTTGCAGATGACCTAAAATTTTTCCAAATCGTCAACAACTTTAGAAATGCTATCGATTTACAGTCAATAATTTATCCGATTGATGCAAATTCAACGGCATGGATTTAAATGTGGGAAAATGTTACATTATTCGGTTTCATAGTTCTCAACAGCTCACTATATTTGACTACAAAATCAATGATCAACTTTTAGATAGTGTTAAACAAATTAAAGATCATGTAATTATTTTCGATACAACCCTTAGCTTTAACCACCACACCTCTTCAATTGTAAGTAAATCTATGGAAATAATGTTAGGATTTATTAAAAGAACGACCCGCGACTTGACTGATATAACTGCTATTAAAACTCTTTATTGTACTTTAGTTCGGAGTCACCTCGATTATTTCTCTTTTATGTAGTCCCGTAACTATAAATTAAAAATCGATCGTGTTCAGATCAATTCACTTAGGTACAAAGGGTGAGATTACAGAACGTCTGCAACTTTGCAGATCTGCAAATATGGCGGACTTACAAATGTAAGTATCAAGTTTTCGTATTCCAAAAATTATCTGCAAATTCTCAATAAACTACTATAAATTTTGCTAATTTGCAGATATTTTTTGGAATACGAAAACTTGATACTTGCATCTGTAAGTCCGCCATATTTGCAGATCTGCAAAGTTGCAGACGTTCTGTAATCTCGCCCTTAGTCTTTAAATTACAATCGTTTAATGATTATACTACAATGGAGCAGTTTTTAAAAATACCATCTCTAGAAACCAGAAGAAAACGTAGTGATTTGATTTTACTTTTTAGTATTGTTAATGGAAAATATGATTGTCCTGAAATTCTATCTAAAATTAATCTTTTTGTTTCTACTCGTAATACCAGGTAATCACAATTATTTTATAGACTAGATAGTACTTTTAATAGTTGTATTCCTCTGATATTCTCTGGATAATATTATATGTGAATCTTCTGCAAATAGATTTAAGCACAACATTCAAAATACACCAATGTAATTTTTAACTAATTTTATATAAATAAAAATTTCCTTGGTTTAATCGGTCATTGTTTTTATTTTTAATCGTTTAGCACTACATATGTTTCGGAAATTAATTTTTTTCCATCTTCGGGTGCAGTCAAAAGATAAAAATTAAAAAAAAAAACAAGGGGACGATTACATACAGTTTATTTATTTTTTTTTTTAAATAACAGAACCCCATCTTTTTCTTTCATCGTGTGAAGGTGTATTCGAAATAATATTGATTTGGTTTAAATGATAACGATAAAGTAGGGAAACAAAAAGATGAGTTTTTTCAAATTTAAAAATTACCAATGGCGTTACATTTAAGGATTAGAAGCTTACAAGTATTTAATAATATTAAAATAAACGTTTGACTAATCTTTTATGTCTGTTTTATTATTTACAGAGTTGTTATTTTTTTTAATATGTATCATCTCAAGGATTGTTCTTTTGTTGAGATTAGGTTCATTTTCGAGAATTCTTACATTTTCAAAATCGAATGAGTGCAAATTTTCTAACGCATGTTTAGTTAGGGCAGTGGAATTTTCATTATTAGTTGCAATATTATGTTTATGGTTTTTTATTCTTTTATGTAGATATTGTTTTGTTTGTCCAATGTAAGTGGAATTACAGTCTTTGCAGTCAATTTTATAGACAACGTTTGGTTGATTTATTTTACTAATTTTGGGCTTAAAACTAAGATTGCAGCAGTTTAGATGGACGAGTCAAGAGCGAATTTATTCAACAAAAAGTACTTAAAGCGCCATCTTTTGGAGGATATTCAAGATATTGATAAATCTGTTTTGTTGGTTCATACAACTTCGTTTTTAGAATACGAATAATTGATTAACTAAAAAAATCTTAATTTTAGAGTTAATACTGTTTTGATTTGGGTGTGTAAAAGAAATAGTGAAAAACAAATATACATGTTTATTTAATATTCATAACATACACTCTTTATCTCTCTGCGTACTAATTTGGTAAACTCTCTCGCCACGTTCTTAATGACCAATCACAAGACAACATCCAAACATATAAGCCGTTCCCCAGACCAATCAGAACATTAGCACAAAAGTATTAACCTTTACACACCACACTCCACTAACAAACAGGGAGACTTATTTCAACCTCTATTCGTCTATTCTTTAAGTTTACGTCGTTTCTCTTTCAAACAGAATATAGAGATGTTTTAAACCTACATGTTCATTATATGAAACAAAATGTAAAAATTGTTATGTGATCCATTGCAACGTTAATAGTGTTAAAATAAACAAGTTAGCAGAAGTAATTATTTAATTTTAACATTCCAAACAAGTATCAAGCTATCAAGCAGTGCACCAATGAAATCATACATTCTACAAATCTATAGTCCTTCTAGCTGACAGGAGGAAGCCTTATGTGGGTGACAAAAAACAAAAACTGACGTGAGTTCACAACTCAGGTATTTAAAATTAAAATAATATATACTTTCCTAGTTACGACGGAATCCCATATTTCATTTTCTTCCAAAAGTGAATACTCATATGAACTGTTATAATTTATAAGTTTTTTAATACTATAACCTTCTGATATGCCATGTGAATTTCTGAGTACAGGTGGTCCAGGCGGTACAGGTGGTCCAGGCGGTCCAGGCGGTCTGCCTGCAGAATCTAGAGGAGGTTTTAACTTGTACATCCAAAACTAATTATAAAATAAATAATTATTATTATGAAAAGTGATAAGGTGAATCCAGATTTTTTCGTAATTTGGATTTACATAAGCGAAGTGCATAAACCAGTTACAAAATGCCTTTATTTTGTGTAACGAGTGACAAATTGATCCACCCCCATAGTTGGAAAATGGCAAGATATGCATTTCTTTGGAGTCGCCAATTTTCAGTCGCGTGTAGATTCCAACAAATTGTTCTCTAGCTTTATTTTTGTCACTCGCTAAACTATATAGGTATTCTTTGCGTTATCAGTATAGATTTTGTATAATTGCAATTTTAATTTAATGATTATATACTCACGTCTAAGGAATTTAGACAAAACTGAAATGGAACAACTACCATTATTCCCAATAAATAAAATACTCCATCATTAATGACATAACGGTTTTTAATTTCTGGTGCTTGTGTCATCTTTGTTTACCTAAAATAGCAAATTCAGTAAATTCATGCTGTTACTTTTACAAGTTTCATTAAAACGAGGTGTCGATAGGTGTAAAAATCTAAAGAAAGAAAATTAATGCACACCTACAGGTACTTTTAGTTTTGATACTTAAGAAAAATTTTAAGTGGGTATCGAAACTTATGATATAAACATTATTTTTTGGTAATCTTCATGTCATTTACTATTTTTAATGATTTACAAAAAAAAAGGAATGTCTTCATCTTGCAAACCATTGTATCTTGAACGCATTATTTTTTGACTCCTACTTCTATTTCTATTGAAAAAATAAAACCTATTTGGTTTACAAGAATAGATCTTCATTCACCAATTATAATAGCACCTTTCTTTCTCATTTTTTGTTTATAGCGGATCATACATGAAAATTGAACACTGGCAAAACGAATAATAATAATAGCAATTACTCTCCCTAATTCACCCCCTTATAAGTGAATTTCAACCCCTGAAGTCGACTGAGCGACTTGTATCGGGGAAGGGACGGCTATTCTTATTATTTGCCGTGGCGCTCCGGGGCGACTTAAAGATGATTGATCGCGCCATTTAACTTACAGGTGAAGAAAACCTCACCCACCATCTTGGTAATGCATGGCAACCTAGACTTTATCTAGACTTTATTCTAGTACAAGCTAAGCTTGGCGTCCTTCAACGATGTTGCAAGGGTGGCTTTAAGAAGAAGTAAAAGATGGGAATCTGATGACTTCAAATTTACAAATTTGACTATCGTAGGTATGTGTTCTGGTGGTCTAATTGGTAAAGTCGCAAAGAGCTATACTTGGAAGATCAAGATTCTATCCTGGCTGGTGCACTTATTTTTTCTTTTCTTTATTTCTCAACTTTTTTTATTTTTCTTTGGTTTGTTCTTACTTTAGGGATTTGGAGATATATTCATTAATTTTGTAGGAGGAAATGGGGATTATATATTCACATTTCTAAAATTGCTTATATGTAGCATTGACTATCTTCCAAGGCCAAATATCAGCGACTATTTCTCTAATGAAATAGTCGTTCCAAATATAACACGACCTTGATTAATATTCTGCTATTTTTGTTCTTGCTAAATTTCTCGAACATATTACAATTTGATTCTACATAATGTTGGCAGTTGGCATTAATAATCAATTGATTAAAGCCCTCGAGCTAAAGCTCTCGGGCTCTAATCGGATTGTTAAGGCCAAAAATTATGTCTCATCAAATTGATATTAAAATATTCTCGAGATTTAGATTCAACAAAAATGGCCGACTATTATCAAGGTCTTGATATATTACCCTTGATTATTCCCAAGGCCACATTAATTAAAGATTAATTGATTTATAATGGCATTTAAATGTATAACATATAACGTGCTATATAAATAATATTTTGTAATAATATTGATGGTAATAATAACATTAATTAATAATAAAAATAGAAATGAATAATAATTCTTGTTATTACAAGAAAATATGAAAAAACATACATTTAATAACTTTTATTTATAGGTACCCACTTTAGAGGTAACTTTTAGATTTTGTTAATACATTAGATTGATTATATCTATAGACAGTATATGTAAAAACATATACTAAAAATATACTAAAAACATAGACTAAAAAGTCTCGTGTATATGCAATATACACATTTTCTCTCTTACATGTAACCCATGTAACAAAATAATAAAATTGTAAAAACTGTTTAAACAATTATTTAGTTGCTATCTCTGTATCTGTATTGTGTGGAGGGTGGGTTACCCCACGGCACTTAGGCCTCATTAGGCCCATTGTAGATCCTCCTGAGAAGATAGGCACCTCCTAGCTCGTGAGCCAGCCTACAGATTTAATGTAGTTGACAACGTCACCAAGAGGTGCTCCTCTTGCTATGGTTACCCAGGCAGCACACATTAGTATAATTAACGTCTTTTATACGTAATACTCGTTTAATTTTGGTATTGGTTGATTCCGTATACGTTTACAGTTTACGATTATTATACATGCCGTGTTTTAAACGATATATTATACGTTTTTTATATACATTCTATGGTATATAATTGTAAATTTTTCTACGTTTGAATATAGTTAACAATATACGACTATTTTTAGTTTGCGATGAACTATTTATATACACTGGGCCTAAATATACGTTTAGGTTTATTTAAATTAAATTCGTATAAATTTACATTATATTACAATATGTTTTCTTCGTTTATAATTCCCGTTTAAATTTCGTTTTCGTTGATTTTTTAAACGTTTACCATCTACCATTTTTATACTTAACGTTTTTTAACAGATAAATTAAACGATTTTGTTTGTCGATACTAGTTAATATACCTATATTATTCTACGTTTAAATATAAGTCACCTTAAACGCATAATACCAGTTTACGATGAACTAGTATACAGAAGTAAATAATATGTATATATTTAGGTTTATTTAAATTAAAAGCTTATAGATATATTTATTTACATTACATCCATATTTTTTTAATTATATTACTTGTAATATTTATAACAAATTCCCCATACACATGGAACTATTTTTAGATGGCGGATGGAGGATGACGTACTAGTGATACGGTCTTTCCTCATTTATACTCATGCGTATGCATAGTATTATTGTTCAGTGTAGGGAATGGTTTGTGGGAGCAGGTTCATCGGTCCGTCCATTTTCATTTGTGAACACGTTTTATTACATGTTGATTTGGCGTCCTGGCTTTTACGATATTGATTAAAATCATAGGTAAGTTTCTATTAATGTTTTAATTTAGCTACTCCTTTAATAATTGTTGCATTTTACAAAAACTACTGTTTTATAGGTACGTGCAGTGTGTTAAATGCTTATACAAACTTCAAAACATAACTTTACTTTTGTTTCTTTTATTTTTATACGTATTTTTTAGGTTACCTAGTTCTTCCAAGCATACTTATTTTCCTTTTTTTTGGTCATTTGTTTTTTATTTAATAAAATGTCTAAAATAACCCTATCTCTGCGTCATGTACGTAGAAAAATAGCGCAAAATGTTCAAGATGCTTTAAAGTCAAATCAATTTTTTTTATTCCCAATGAAGATAACATTAATAAGGCTTTGGACATTAATATATCATCTGATTCTATTATTTATAATAATATCCAAGAAAATAATACAAATTTAACTTCGGAGCTTTTAGAAAATATTTCACCTGAAATTGAGTTACATTTTGGTTATAGGAATGAATGGAAGTGAACCAAGCGACTTAACCGTCCGAACGATTAGATGTGTCATGCAAGATTAGCTTAAGTTAGCTAAGGCCCGTCTAGGACACACCACATCCAAAGTGTTAGGCTAAGATTTTTATTTTCATATATATTTTTTGTTGGTTAAAGAAAAGTTTCGTTTAGTTTGATATTCAGTATTTTAGTGTTTATTTTTTTGTATTTATTTATTTTTTAGTATTTTATTGTTCTTTTTTTTAATTAAATATTGTTCTGTACATATAACAAGTGATCAAAATTTTTTTCTAAATATTTAGGCCAATTACAATCAAAATAGAAACACGAGTAATGCCTATTTCTGGTGTATACACACCTGCTATGGATAAAATCTAAACAATCATTTAAGAAATATTAACATTATTCCATGGCCTCTTTTAGAAATTTTGTTTTGATCACTTTATTTAATTTGTGTTTGAAATACATTTAAAACAATATTAGGTAGACGCATTTTTCACATTAATAAAAATCATACAAATATATCTAATATAGACGTATAGTAAAACAGGATAATTACAGGTAGATAAAGTAGTAATGTTAGACGTATAAAAAATTAAAAAAATATACGTTTATAGGGCGGAAATTTTCACGTATATATTGGGTAGCATATCAGCAGTATCCATACGTATATTGTAGTACATAAAAAAAACGTATTTTATACCAAAGTGAATTCGTATAAATATACTACAACTATAAATCTAATATAGACGTATAGTAAAAACGTTTAATTAAAGGTGGATAAATTCTTAGTAATCGACGTTTATAAGGCGGACATTTTCACGAATATATTTGGTAGTACATCAACCGTATTCATACGTATGGTAGTACCTAAAAAAATACGTAATTTATACCAAAGTGTGCTGCCTGGGTACTATCAAATATTGTAAAATTTCAAATTAAAATTACCTGTTATTCTTATTGTAAATAATTAGTATTTTTTTTTTTAATTATCAAATTACAGGACGTTTGATTGATTGCCTTACATCTAGTTTTCAACTTCATATCGATGAAATGGTTTAGAGCAAATTTTAACACTTTTTTTTGTTTTGGAGCCGTATACTTACAAAATTTTATAGAATTGTGTAGGTAAGTAGGTAGATATTTCTTTTATTTGTCCATTAAAATAAGAAAAAGCTTAATCATAAGAAATACAATCCATATATTTTGAATAAAATCAACGTATGGTTTGACAATATTTTTGATTTGCGTTAGAAACTTTATATTTAATTCTTAATAAGTCCAAAAATAATTATATAACCCAAAAAAACACTGTAATTTTTAATTTTACCCTTGGAATTTAATTGCCAGAACTTACCAATAGGATATTGTATCAGAGGGTACGGGAATTCTTTTTTCACTATATCAATTATCAGATAAAAACAATTAAGTGACTTCAGGAATGTTATCAGTTATTCTCAAATATTTATCTTAAATATATTTAAAAATACAGTGTGTGACCCCAGTAGAAGTAAGGAAATATAGAAATAAAGTAAGACTAATAATCTGGTTTTATTACCTGTAAAGTCAATTTTGAAAGAATTTTCTTTCAAAAATGTATAAAGCTCATTAGAAAAAGGACCGGATTTATAAAAATATAAGCGCAGGATGTTTTTTTCAGATCTCCACAAAGAAAGGAGCTTATTTTATAAAAATACCTGTTTTTTAACCTGAACACCTATCGTCACCGTTGTCCCACTTTACCCTTTCGTAAATCTGGCAACCCTATACT